CGATAGTTATCAAAACAATACCAGGCAGTTAACAGATTATACAAATGGTATGAAAAAGTTAAACTGCATTAGGCTTCGACATGCCTTCTCTTATGGACTCGGCCCGCTTCCTTGAGCGCTTGGAACGGCGCCTATCATCCTCCAGGATTTTATCGTCAAATCCAATGAGCTCAATTGTCTCCGACTGGCTGGTGGGACCGGCTGAGAACCACTCCGGCTCCTCCTCTGCATAAGAGTCATTCCTTCTCCTTTCACTAAACACCCGTTTGTCACCAAAGTCCCTCTGCAAATACAAGACAATATAATATCACCGTGTGAAATAAAAAAAATAAAAATTTAAAAAAAACACGCAAATAATTGATTAAATGAAGGGACCATTCTTGGAATAAACTCTTTGTACAGAGAAAGCACACCGATTAAGAGGGACTCTTATGTCCAAGCAGCATGTTGCTCATTCTACTAAGTAGAAAGTAAATGTTTGCTGTTATACAATTTCAAAGTTTGAGGCTTTTTTCCACATATACATCTCTTTTCAATAGCTTCATAATCTTTACAGGGGGTTTTGAGAAACAAAATACAGGACACATTTTGCAAAACATTGCCAACCTCAATGTACTGAGTGCCTCACTGTCCAAACACTATAGGGAAATACATTATGGATGGACTGAAAGCAATGAACACCAACCCTGAATCTTTTATCCTTAAAGTCTCTCTCACGTTCCCTCTCTTTCTCCACACGGGGCTCTCTCTCAAAGGCTCGGGCAGGAATTATGCGGCCACTGCCGATCCTGCGTGCCCCTCCTAGACGAAGACTCTCATTCTCCTTATTTTCCAGGGGGCTAATTGGGCGACGGGCGTGGGGTGCAAGTGCAGCGTTGCCTTGACATCCACCTCCGAAGCTCCGTCGCTGCGGGCTTAGTATGACATCCAGATCATCCTCCTTTAATCGCTCTCGAGGATCTGAATACAGCGCAGCAAACAAGCTTGGCTTTAGATATTTAACACCAACGGTCACATCATAACCAAACCAATAATCCAAAGAAAGCCTAGCTTAAAGAATATCTTCCAATTTTCTCACAAGAAATATTATTTTCTGCCTCATTTATGTTGTCTTATTAACACAATACCATGTTGCTCAAATATTTGTTTAGCTGCTGAATATTCAGGAGTTGTGAGCATTACAAATACAGAAACCTGTTCTGGATAAGAATTATGATTTATCACAACACCTCAGACAAACATCCTGCTACAGAGAGTAAGATTATTTTATGACCTACGTTTTGGTTTAAATCTTAATCTTTAGATTTCTGGCCATTTACCTGGAATTCTCCGTTTCAAAGGAACTCTGTCATCCACATAGTCCTTTTTAAAACCTTCCACTGGAGAGTTACGCCCTGAAGTGGGATACAGTGAGGCGTGCCACTTCTCAGGGTCCCAGACACCATCACTGTATCAAAACACCATTGGACACAATTAAAGCGCACACACTCAACCAGCTGACCAAAGCAAGACAATTAACTAAAATGATTCACAAAAAAGAAATCTCACCCGAGTAAAAGATAATTTACATGTTGCACATAAAAATGCTAATACAGGGAACAGCTTATACGTCTAATATTATATAGTTCTGGACATTAGAAAGACCAATTATAATACAATCCCACAAAAGCACTTAGTAACAGTTAGCATGGCCAACATAATCTACAACCAACTATAACAGTGGATTTGAACCTTTATTCTGTTAGGCAAGAAGAGGAATGCTACTTTCTATCATACCAGATATTTAATGATATTGTCAGTCATCCATGTCTAAAATAAAAACATGATCTGCAGGATCGACAATAATTTAAGCAGAAAACAAACACTGTTATGGATTAGGTGAGGGACTAATATTCTGAAGCAACAGTTTCCTTGATTTAGACACTTCTCTATAATGTACAAACTATAATAAAATACAAATGATCTGCAAACCAAACGCACATGCTTTTTTACTCTCAAGAAGACATTAAACACCACCTAACATCAGAACCCATCTTTGACGAGCCACTTGTCAGTGTTACGTCAATAGTTCCTCTAGGAATTGAAATGGTTTGCTCTGTTCAAGACTGAAGTAAATGTGACTAAATAAGAGCACAGCCGAAGGTTATTCAGGGGCCACCCAAATTTACATTTTTATCAAATCTAAATTTGAGTTATAGAACTGTTTGAGGTTGTGAGTAAAATACTTCATGACATCATAATCCCATTCATTCAAAGTAACTTTTATATAAAAACATTTGATCCTACACACTTCACAGTTCCAGCGGCACATATGATCAGACAAAGACACGCTTGATGCATACTTTGATCTCCATGCTGAGATGTGGTCTAACTTCAGAGGCATGCAGGGACATGTGCTTTGTTTTCTATATTGAACTCCAGCATCTGTGAAATTGAATCACCGTTTTTATGTCCCCCCCAAGACAAACCACCATATCCTATAATGGAATCTTAGAATGTTAATCATTTCTTGGCCCAAAATTACCAAAATTATCAATTAACGCTCATCAAAAACACCTTCCAGCTCGCTCTTTTACAACAGCCAATGAAAGTAAATATTCTCGACTCAGAATTAAAGCTTTTTCATTCTCAACAGCTCATGATTTATGTGAACACATAACTATGACCAAAGCAGACACCTAACTAAGTCAGTTACTGTCAAAGAGAAGTAAGAAAGTTGCCGTTTTTCAATGATGCCCATCTAAGCAGTCACATTCCACAAAGTTTGCTATATACGATCAGATTATCATGTGGATTGTGTATGATGTGGATAACAGCCAAGGAAACTCATTCTTACCTGTCATATTTATCAGAAAGACATTCTGGCCTTTCATTTGAGACTGGCAGTTCTTTTATTTCCAGAAGCTCCTCCTGTATAATAATTGATGATCAGAATCAGTTTATAATGGCCAGGTATGGGTGGAACTACCAAGAACTTGACTCTGGTTGTTGTTATTCACTCACACAAACAGGTACATTGCAAACAATAATATAATAGTGCAACGGTGCCGTGTAACTATGCTAGAATTAATATATAATGACGAAAGTAAAAGGTTGCTTTATATACAATGCTGTGAGTGGATATGTATAGTGCAAGCATTTCAGTTTACAGTATGTTCAGTAAAACTAATAGTTTGTGTGCATACAGAAGAACACTATATGGCCTCTATATTACATTGTTGGTATTTCTCATCACCTTGGTGTATCTGTAAGGAGCTGTGGCTGCTGGCTGGTTGACTTGGTCCACAGCAGCATTTCCATCACCGGTCTTCTGCTCGACACAAGCATCGTTCTCCATGACTGCTCTCTCAGACTGAACAAACCGCGTCCAGCCCAACAATTAATTTGTTCCTGTTGGAAACATATTGAACGTTTTTAAGTTCATCATGCAGCTCCATTGAGTTAATTTAGAAAGGTCTGGACAATATAGTCTTATTGATAAACTTAGCACTTGAATTGTTTATTGGTGTTATTTTAAACTTCTTTGGAAACAATAGATAAGAAAAGAAAACTGGCCACATACATGAACATACAGTCAAAAATGATAAACATATGATCAATAAACTTCACCTAACGTCAGGCTAACTTAGCAAACGCTGCTAGCCAATTAGCAAGTTAATTGAAAACAGCCATAGAACGCTGACATGGGACGTGACACGTCAATTACCATTATTTACCTAGCCGTAGCGTTAATTGACAAATTGCTTGTAAAGTTAGTATCTGGACCGTGAACGAAGCCGTTAATAAATACATCTCGAGCCAGTAACATTAGAGACCGTTGGTACATTCTGTTGCTAAGGTTAAAATGAATCATCTCTTAACTGTTTCAGGAAAATATACGCTAACAATTACCCAGGTATTGGTTAGCTAAGGTAGCGTACAACACAGTTAGAGTTAACTCTGAACAACATCCAGGGTATCTTGCGTAAAATTTGTACAAACGGTTGGCTAACAAAGGAAGTATGTTTAGAAAAACACAAACGACCAACTTACTGTTTAAATGCTGCGTGGAATACTGGTTGCTCACGGCCGAGCAGCGGCAGTTCACGTTAGTTAGCTAGCTAGCTAACCTAGCACCTTTAGCTAGCTAGCTAACTAGCTGGGGAATTGGGGATAATGCCCACCCAGCGAGTGCCAAAATCTTAAACCGGTTGAGTTGTTGCAGTGGTATCAGCAAACACACACTATACTGGGGTAACTAAACAAAATAACGAGTCCAGGCAACAAATTAATTCACACGGTGACTGTGTAATCTCAAATCATTGTCTGCTCTTTCTCTGTTTTCTAAGTCGTAGCAGCAATTTTCCTCTGATCACCGCTTTAAGAAGGTCCTAGGAAAGATTACATTGTGCCCATTGCGCCTGTGTATAATTGTATATAATCTGGTGTGCGTTGGCCGTGTTGTATTCTCATATTTAAATCATAATACAGGAATTAAGTTTTGCTAGTAAGATATTTGTTGTGCAGCTATGTGTAGTAGAAAATCTAACTTGATTTGTAGGGGTTTAATTTACACTCAATTTAGAATATTCAGAAGGCAATAATTGGGGCACCTATTCATTATCTTGGGGTTTCCCGATTTGATACTCAGTCATAGCCGTCTCCCGGTGCTTCGTGTGAAAATTTAAGACCCCGCCCGCACGGGCTGTCTAGGGCTGACATTGCGCGCAGCCGTTACCCTGAAAGGACATCGGGTGCGTTCCAGACCTCCTGTTAGCAGTAGTGGTCACCACAACAAAGCGAGAACAAATATGTCACAGTGAAACACCTTGTATTCAAAATGAGGCTTTATAACATTCGAATCAGCTCCATCTTTAGGAGATTATTTAACAGTGTACAAATGCAAGAGAGACACATTTAACGTCCACGACCGGAACTCGGCGCAGGATTTTGAAAACGTTACATTTTGCCGTTGACTGTGTCTGGAACATACCCTACTACAGTCACGTGACGAGGAAAAATAAACGCGCTGCACTTAGTTACCAAAACAAATTGTCCACATTGATGAAGGTTGTTAATTATGTTTTATACTTAACACTGTGGTAAAGTTTTGGTGTTCATGTTTACATTAGATGTGATGTTGTGGTTTTACCGCTCTGTACTCTAGTGGTCTGGTGTAATATAATGCAAAGTAACGCCAGAAAGCCAGATCCAGTGAGACCACGTCTAAGCAGTGGCAGTTCTGGTGGTGAAAGAAAACAAGTGCGCAAAGTTCACACAAGAAAGGTCCCGTACAGAGTTGGATACAGCTGGAACAAAGGTGGAAGACTCAAGGAGCTGAGAATAAGGTGCCGCCGAGACACTTGAATTACTGTATTATCACTCTTATCTTGTCATTGATAACTTTAACAAACTGTTTCAACCACTTAAGGCACTTGGCAAGAAAGTTCCTGAAGATATGGATGCAGAACACCTTTGGCCGAATTCTTCCTCATAAAGCCAAGTAACATGTTAAACTAATTTCTGCAAATTCATTCAAAGAAGAAATAATTGTATCTTTAAAGCTAGGATCAAAGTCTGTTTGCCACTTTCAAATGTGCTATCTGACCCTGAGTTATCTAATCCAAGGGAATATTACATGTCGCAGGTCCCACTACAACACCGTGGTCTTGAGACAAGCTTTTGCAGGATGGAGAGACGAGTGGTGGACGTCCAGGAGGGAGTGGAGTCTCACAATGCGGGCGGAGTGTCACTACAGGTACATGAAACAGTCCTGTAACTCAGTCAGCTGTTCACAGACCGTGGTTGTTTCTTCTAATTAAGTGTTTTGTGTTTCAGGTATTATCTGTATAACTTGGTATTCCATAGCTGGCGAACATTTATGTCACTGCAGAGGGAAAAGAAGCGCAAAGTCCAAACTGCACAATCATTTGGTATGATTTTTGAACACACAGTAAGAGTATATCTAATCGCAAAGCCTGATGTTGTGTTAGATATCACAAGCAGCTGTTTTGTTATAATTATTTCCTTAATAGCTGACGGGCATCGGATGCGTCTGGTTTGGGAACGATGGGAGGTTTTCACAGAAATGAGGCGGATGAAGAATAGAATGCTTGAATCTACCCTTGAGCAGAACAGACTTGCTACCCTACAGTAAGATCATTCATTGTATTTACAAATCAGACTCGTATAATGTTTAGTGGATCATCGGTTTTTAATGCTATTATGTTTATTTCACCTGTGCAGTTCAGCGTGGAGATCATGGCGGACTCGGCTGCAGCAGCATCAAGACCTTCACACTTTAGAGGATCAAGCCCTGAAACAGAGGGCGCTCACTATACAGAGCAGAGTAAAGACATAATCCAACACACACACATCATCCATATGCTGTCAACACTATGTGTGATGAATGCTGATCTCCTTCCTTTGCGCTCTGCGTGGCGATTTGTGAATGTCTATATATTTTGTTTTGTCAAAGACTTGGTTTCAGTGGAAAGAAATGCACACAACTGCCTGTTGCCAGAAAGAGAAAGAATCCAAAGCTGCGCTTCACTTCATCCTCAGACTGAAAAGAAAATCATTGCATCGTTGGAAAAGTTATGTGTCTTCCCTCCAAACCAAGAAAAAGTCACAAGGTTGTTATAAACTACCTCTCTTTCTTCCTTTAATATAGACCAAACGCTCATCAATACTATACTTTTCTTGTTCTCATTTTTAAGCCTGATTACTCAATTTTCTTTTATAATTCCTCATTTTTTAGCTGTGGCGCAGCGAGCCTGCGATCTCCGCCTGGTGATGATGTGTTGGAGTCAATGGAGCAGTGCTTTGCATCGTAAACGGTGCGAGGAAGACCGGTTGCAAGCTGCAGGGCATTTGGCCATAAGGATCACCCAGCGCAGAGCACTGGAGCGCTGGAAAGCTTGTATCCTTAGCCAAACACAAGATAAGCACACCTTTCATTTTCAACCAACAACAGCATCAAACGTAGTTCAGTGAGGGATCGTTTGGGCTTGTAAAAAATCAGAACAGCTGTTTGATTCTTGAGCTTGTCAGTAGATGTGACGTTGTGCAGAGAAGAAGCTGAAAGAAACAGGATTGCAAGTCAGAGTCATCATCGTCATCTGCTGGTAAGATGAAGAGCAAATTAAGCGTATGAGTAGAGATTGCGATCATTCAATGTATTGATCACTGTGCGTTGTCTTGTTGCAGCGTGCTGGAGTGCAGGGACTTTCTCTTAACGTCATCAGGAACAAAACACACCGACTGAACAACAACATGGCTGTCCAACATTATCATCAAACCGTAATTGATGAGCACTCTATCATTATAATAATACAGAGTCGAAACATACATCACGTTACGTTTCTAAAAATGTCCCTTTTGTTTTTTCCGTAGATGACGTGTAACTATTGGAAGCTGTGGCAGGACCGCTTGGAGGAGGCTGAAGACGAGAGTTTTCAACCCCTGAAAGAAATGGCACTGACGAACCACAGGTGCTTTTATTTACATTTGTCATTGCTTTATGTTGTAGCATCCGAGCTACGAAGATGTTGCATATTTCGTATAAAGTGTTTCCTGTTTGCATGATTTTTATATAATTTTGGACTTGTTGTCTTTCCAGCACATCTCTGTTGAGCAGATGTTTTCACCACTGGAGAGATAAACTCGCTGAACAGCGACACATGCAGGTATGTGTTTAGATCCAACACATGAGAAATACTTATAGGGCAGAGATCAGGACACATCATATAAAAGTGAATTAATTAATTCAAAATGTAGGTGAAATATGAGTGATGCTATGTGACCTTAACTCCTACATATAGTTTAATTGCAAACTTTCTGCAGGAACTGGAGCATCGTGCAGACGTTTGGTTCGCTGAAGGCATGGTGCCTCGGTGTTTCAACTTGTGGGTTGAGTTTACTTTACAGAGAAGACTCCATAAACAGAGGAGACACAAGGCAGACGTCTTTAACCAGTGAGTTACAAACCCCGCGATTTGTACACGTGTGATTGTGATTTATTTCGGTTGCTTCCACATGATTTGTTTGATCGCTGTGTTATCAGGCAGCGCCAGTACACTTTGGTGTTTTACACCTGGTGGGGACAATCAGAGAAACACAAGGAGCAGATGCTCTCTGAGCGGATGGTACGTTAGCTGTACACAAACAACTGCATGTTGTTTATTACGAGCTCAGGTGTGTATCAGATACTGACGGATAACTTCGCTGTTACCAGGCAATTCTGCACGAGGAGCGCTGCCACTTGCAGAGAGCCTGGACTCGCTGGAGGCAACGGACAGTGCAGCAAATTGACGCAGAGGAGAAACGGGAGGCTTCAGGCCGTCTGTACCTTCACAGACTTCTCCACAAGTCGCTGACACAGTGGAAGGACAACAGCGCTGAGATAAGAGACAGGTGAAGCAACCCAAGTGCTGCAGAAGTGTTTGCGTATAGTGTGGGGAAACTTGCTGGTCTGTTGACTAACACATAATTTGAATACTCTTGTTTGCATGTCAGGAGAAATCGAGAGCTGCAGGCTTGTCATCAGGGTGACCTGCGCTGCACGAGATTGGCTGTGGATACATGGAAAAGGGTAACTCTTGTAGTACTTGTTCGTTCAGTTTGCACAACATTTGTTGACGTAGTACCTGATATACATCTGCTCAAGGTTTAAAGAAAGACAGAAAGTGACCTGCTTAGGTCTGGAAACTTGGAAACTATTTTTAATTTGTTCAACATTATAAAATACCAACAGCAATCACATACACAGTTATCAGTTTCATGTGTGTGTATGTGTGTGTGTGTGTGTGTTAATGGCTCTTATGTGTTCGGTCAGTTTGTTCAGTGCCAGAGAGTGAAGAAAAGCAAACTGAAACAGATGCAGCGTTACCATGAAGTTAAACTCCTCAAACACACGTTTGTGGCCTGGAAGGTACACGAGCGTCTGAAATCCCGTGATTTCTTAAGGTTGGAGTGTTGAAGATAAAGCTGATGCACTGTCGCCTGCTGCATTCACAGAAACACCACCTACAGATGTGTCAGATCTACCGTCACGTAGAGGAACATTACTGGCAGCATCAACAGATATTTCTCAGGTATTGAACACATATTCTCACCTTTATTCCTTTACAAGGTCTGACGTCTGCTCCCATTTTCTCCATCTAAATGATTCATGTCGGCTTTACCTCAATGATGTCTCTTCAGGAAGGTCCTGTGTGTTTGGAGGGAGAACGCAGTGCTGCGGACAGAAGTCAGGCTCACAGAGCAGCGAGCACAGAATCACTTTCAGCACCGCCTTCGACTTAAGGTTATAAAGCGTATGAAAACCTGTCATAGCTCTTCCTTTGTGGGAACTTTTGCTTATTGCTGTCTTTGCACTGATTCTGTTCAGGTGTTTGTTGCTTGGAGAGAAGCAACAGCATGTGCAGCTTCAAAGCGACACCAGCAGGGGGAAGCAGTCAACAAGGCTCTGAGGTCCATAAATCAAGGTAACAACACATGCAGTTTATTTTCAAGACCGTTGTCATTTTATTTTCTGTTTCAGATCCACTTTTTTTCTGAACGTCACTTCTCTTCCATGAATGTCACTTATTATTATATTATGTATTTATATATATATATATATATATATATACTTTTATATTTATCATACAAGTATTTTGGTAGTCATGTATATTTCTTACACCAACATAGTTAGGAAGCATTATTTATTTTTTGTAAACACATTTATATCATTTTATTTTTTCCCACTTTTACGTTTATTAGAAAGCATTTGGAAGTTTAATGCAAACTGATTTTCTCTTACTCTTATTGCTGACAGCTGACTTTTAAAGATGACACACAAAACAACACAGTCTGTGATGAAGAGACATCCTCACACAAGGAAAAACCCAATGATACAGACCAAACAAAACAGTTTATTGCAAATTAAGTGCAAAACTTTCAGATTTTTAAATGTTCATTACAAAAAAACTTCTTCTTTTCAAAATGAATCCTTTCTAAAATGTTTTTTTGTGTCTCAGAAAAATGTGAGCCATCGTCTTCTACTTTTGTCTGTTGTATCAATGTTTTCATAGTATTACACCTCAGATTTGGCAACTATTAAGTTGTTGTTGTGTCAGGATACTGTTAAGATTAGGCACATGTACCTTGTTCAGGTACAGGTTTTTAGTTTGATGTTTTCTGTGTTTAGTGCGGCTCCTGCGGTCTTTCAAACAATGGAGGAAGCAGACCAGGGTGGCTCGGAGAGAGAGGATGTGCATGGAAAAAGCCAGGCAGCACCACGACTCCACGCTCCTTTCCAAAGCACTGAAAGCCTGGAAAAACCATCACAACCAATTACAGAAAAACAAGGTGGTGACTTTATTATCCCTGAGCTGTTACATAAAGCCACACTGTAAACTTCCCGACATGAGTTTTTAAAAATGTGATTATTTCACAGGTAATGAAACGACAGGGAATCCTTTTGCTGAGATTAAAGATGTACCAGATGTACTTTGACCAGTGGAAAATGAAGGTTTGTTTCTTTTTCACACACTTTAGCCTCTTAACTCTTCACACATAAAGATGACTGTTCTTGTCATTAAGAACTCAGCCAGTAAAAACAGTTGTATTATGTCCTCTTTGGTTCTGGAGGAGCTTTTTAAAGTGTGTTTTTTTTGGCTAGTGACTAAAAGTCAGGATATCTCGTCCTCTACTCTTGCTTTTTATTTTACTCTTTACTTTGTAAGTGTCTCTCACATCTCCCCTAACTTTATTGAAGTATAAAATCGCTTGTGTACCCCTTTAAAACAGATAATCTCAGCCAGATGTAGTTTTACTTGAATATTGTCTCTATATGGAGCAAGGTTAGACAGTCAGATCAATATCTGTGATTTGATATAGTGCAGTTAAACTGGCCGTGACTTTGGTTTCCTTCCCGCGAACAGCTGCAGCACAGACGGAGAGGAGCGAAGCAGACGGAGCGAGCGCTCTGGCACTGGTCCCTCACTCTTCAGGCCAAGGTAACCCTTGCCTGCACAGCCGCCTCTCACTGCAATATTGAGCACTGAATTGCAGAATTGGCGCTCACGCGGTCTTGATGTTGTGTTGTGAATTTGCTGCAGGTGTTGTGTGGATGGAGGCTGCAGGTCACAGAGCAGCGCAGGAAACAAGAGCAGGCGGCCAGAGCTGCTCTGGTCTACAGAGACCAGCTGCTGAGGGAGGGCGTGACGTGCATCCTCACATATGCTGCTCACATGAACGATCTCACAACGAGTCTAACGCAGCACAGCCCAGAGCAGGTTTGTTGAGTTTGTGTCACTTCAGACGTAAAATGATTGAATAATAATTGAGTATCATTTCATCAAGGCTGCCTGTGTTCCTGCAGAGGTCACGACATCTCCACAGAGTGGTGAAGCGTTGTGCGATGCGGTGGAAGCAGCGGGCGCTGTGTAAACCACGGAGAGAGCAAGAGGTCAAAGGGCAATCGCCCAAGAAGAGCGTGACCTTCTGTTTGACTACATGTGGATTGAAGAGTGTATCCCCTTCTGACTCGGAGGAGCAGGAAGCTGAAGATGGAGTCCTTAGCAAGCGGTGAGTCTGAGGCCTTCACAGGCTGTGAATCTGTGTTCAACAGTTGGACTAACAGAGTTTTTTTCATTGTTTTGCAGACAACTCAGCCGTGCGCCTCGACGTCAGCCACGACGCTGCGAGGAACTGTTTGAGTCTCCACTGAAAATATAGTTAAACAAAAAATCTCTACATTTCTTAAAACTAAACATGTATTTCAAGTTAGAAATTGGCTGTTATTTAAACATTGTGTTTCTCACTCAGCGGAATGAGCTGCTGACAAAAGCTTTTCCTTTTCTTTTTTTCAGCACCCAAAATCAGGCTGCCATCACCAAAGCTGAAGCAGCTCCAAAACCCTCGCAGCTCAGTCGTCCTTCACAGGAAGGCCGTCGTACAGCGTCGTCCTGCCTCCATCCTCCATCCACACGTCAGAGTATCATCGTATCTAACGTGTCGCCCTCTGAACCGAACATGTCCACTGTGGACTCAACTCAGGAAACCCAAAACCAAGACGTTCTTTTACCCCCTTCTGCTTTCATGACCACTGTGACCAAAGATATGGTAATAGTCACCTGTTCGAATGCGTTCAAAGCTAAATTGAGTATCTTGACTTGGTTATAATGTCTGCTTTTTTTTTTTTCACAAGTCGGATCCAACTTTAGCGCTGACTGGAGAACTGCTCAGTGTTCAGCTGGACATGGTGACATACCAACAGGACAGGAAGCAGCTCCGGTATGAAATCTGTGACAGCAGTTTTTCCATTCCTCTCAGGTTCTTGAACACAGTTCACAGTGAGTGATGTTTGATTGTGTGTCGACTCAGGGCATGGCAAAGATTAAAAGAGGTATTACAAAGCTGGCTGCAAACCAGTGGAAAGGAAGAACAAATGGAAAAAGATGCTGTCTGTGAGGAGTTGAAGGAGGTAAGAAGATAAGATAAATCTGTCCTTGTTTTTTATTAAACTGGGAACAACACTTGCACTGCAGAATTTTGGTACACTTTAGAGATGATACTGTATTAATGATATACTGTTCCTTAATTATTGCATCCCAAATATCTAGAAACCATCAATGCTTATGATGTTGTGTGTTCCTTCAGCGTGATTTAGCACATCTTTGTCTTTAAGTGTTCAACCTCTTCTCACAACAACCAACCGTGACTAACAAATTAAAAAAGCAAATAATAAAAAATAAAAAAAATAAAAAAAGAAATAGTTTGACCAGATTGAAAATGCGCCAGAATGAATGCAGTTCATAATCAGAGGAAATACATTTAACCGTACGAGTTTCTTTTATTATGGAAAGAGACGGGCTTGTAAAATGCTGATCATGAGGAAAGTTATTTCAAGGTAACTTCCCAAATCACTTAAATTTATCGCTTCCACTTTTCATGCATTCTTTTGGGTTTCCGTATGAACAATAAATCATCGTCTGTGAAAAAGCCAACAATCGGAGATCACATGAGGGGAAGCGGTGTGAAATCGCTGACACTCCAAGTTGTTTTACTGGTGTCACAGCCGATGTTTTTCATGTTGACAGTTGGAGGAGCGCATCAACAGTCTGTCCGCTGAACTGGCAAAACGGAAACCAACAATGCTGCTACATGCAAAGAGGATCCAGCATTTACAGACTGCCCTCCAGGCTTCAGGAGCTGTTTTCCTCCATCACAAATCAGAAAAGACGGAAAGAGATCGCTCTGTGTTTACATTATCTGCTTAGATCACATTTCTTAAAATAACATGAACACTGACACAAGAATTGAATGAGGAAACTGTTCACCAGCTGATGCATATTTCAGAATAAACATTTATACTTCTACTGCACTCTTCTGATATCTTGATGTCCACATATTGCTTTTTATTCCTGTTGAATGCCATATAAACTGTATTGACAGAGCAAAGCATTGTCGCCAAGTTCCTCACCGCAGCGTTTACTACATTTACACTTAAAATCTGCGAAAACATTGGATAGGGCTGGTCCTTGTGACAGATGGTGCTAAATATTTCCATGTGTCTGAAAAAAGTCACTTAGCTGTTTTCAGAGGAGCTGCCCTTGCACAATAGGCGTTCTATTTATCCGTTAGTACCGATACCTCGATACTACTGTCAGGGATTTCAGACTAGCAGAGAGGACAGCTGTCTGTGGAGCTCTGCAGACGACAGACGAACAGATTTGTCTGAATCTTTGACTTACAGAAGGGCAGAATGCGAGGGCTAAATACTGTTTTACTCTTTTTCATCTTTGTCTGCAGCATCAGAGGTGAGTTATGTTACTCAACGAGTTTATTACTTTCACTGTTAAGTTATTTATGTTCTAATTGAGTCTCATGTTGTTGAATGTTCGAAATGTTTTGATTCTTTTGTAGATGTTGACTTTTGGTTGTTGATGGCAAGATTGCTGCCCTCTTTTTGGAGCTTTTTGTGGATATTATTAAAGCTGATTTAAACATTGTACTAGATGTTGTAAAATAGAAACACCAAACTAAATTTTGTTTTAGTTTTAGATTTTCTTAATGAATGAATGCATAAAGAAATGCATTCGATAACTGCATCTTACAAAAAAATGCATGGTTGACAAATAACCAATTCTGTCATATTCTGATTAACTTGTGTGGACTCCTTAAACTAATCCTTCCTTGTTAGGTAAGAAGATGCGGTGGTGCACAGTGTCGGACCCAGAACAGAGGAAGTGTGCAGAACTAGCTAAAGCTCTGGTGGCGGTGCTGCCGCCTGCTGCTGTAGAAGCAGGCGGCAGACTCTCGTGCATACAAGCGTCCAGCACGACTGACTGCATCGATAGGATCAGGGTGAGCCATAAAGCCTGAATGGCAGTGTCATGAAAGGTGTGCAAGGGACGAAGACGTCACTGTAGCAGATAGAAATTGCATGAAGTTGTGTATTTGAATGTGAATTTCAGCTTGAATTCATACAGTAAAACATTTTATTGTTTATTCATAAAAATCGATTGAAAATATAACGGTTGATTTCTTCTTAACAAAGTCTCAGAGATAAATTGAAAAACTTCAGTTGGAAAAGAGACAACAGATTGATGGTTAATTTTTAAAAATATAATATTACACTTATCGTATAAAGTCTCACAGATAACTGTTGCGGTAGCACAGATCAGGGCAGGAGGTTTACAAAGCTTTCTGTAACAAGGAATAAGGCCAGTTAGTTGCGTTTAGAGCTCGACTGATACCGGATTTATAAAACCAATATTGAGGTTTTAGAAAATCTGATAACAATAAAGCAACCAATTTTGTTTTTTCAGTGTAAACTTTTGATAAGAATCACTTATATTTGGTATTAAGGAATTGTGAGTAGCGTTTGTCAATGCTCCCTGATGGACATTAGATGTGATGGAGTGGAGATAAGCTGTTTCTCAATTACTTAAATGTGGCTTTGGCATATATGTCGATAACCACATGATTTATCAGTTTACCTTTATTTTGGATAACCTGTTTAAGGGGCCAGAGGTTGGTATGTGGGATGGATTATCCAAAGTTAATTGTCCATCATAACTGAAAAGGTGCTTCAACAAAATGTCTCAGAGTGATGAAAACCCTTCCTTTATTAACTGTAGTGAGTTCTTCTTTGAGTCCTCCTGTCACTAAAACTCACCGTGTTGATTATTTGTTTCAGGCAAACCGTGCTGATATAGTGACGTTAGATGCAGGAGAAGTTTATTCTGCTGTGAAGCAGTTTGGCCTCGTCGCCATCGCCAAAGAGATATACAGTGACGGTAGGTTTACTTCAGATCTCTGAGACGCTTCAGCATGTCTTTACAGCACAAGTGTCTGAGTCAGTAAACCTGTGTGTGTGTGTGTGTGTGTGTGTGTGTGTGTGTGTGTGTGTGTGTCCACGCTGAGTCCTACAGGAGGCTGTATTCTGTCTGTGGCTGTGGTGAGAAACAGCAGTTTGGACATACGATCCCTGCGGGGCCTCAGGAGCTGTCACAGTGGGGTTCGATGGACGGCTGGATGGAGTCTTCCCCTCGGCTTCCTGCTGTCCCGCAACTACCTGAGCTGGTCAAAGGAGCAGCCACTCAGTCATGGTGATGCGATTATAATCAGCTGCCAGTGAGAACAGTAGAGTGTGGATTCTTTCTGTTTTCTATTTTTGGCATCCCTAGTTTTATGGTCCCCTGACTTGTTTTTCTCCACTCGACCAGACGTCAGTACCTTTTTCAATGCCAGCTGTGTTCCCGGAGCTGCTGCCATGGCACCAACTCTGTGCTCTCTGTGCCAAGGCCAGAAGTCCTACATTCGCCAGAAGAATTACAACTGCGAAACATCCCACAGCGAGCCCTTCTACAACAGCCAAGGGGCCCTCAGGTCGGGTTTCAACAAAGAATCAACAAAGCTCTCAACTTACAACACACATTTGCTATATTTCAAACAGGTCCAGCATAGAAATTAATTTCCTTTATTGCCTCTTTTGCTCTGTCACAGATGTCTCAGGAGTGGAGCAGGAGATGTTGCATTTGTGGACCATTTAGCTCTTGAAAGTATTGAAGGTAAGCTATTTTCTAATAGACCACTATAGTGTCTTACCATTTATTTATTCTGTTACAATTCTGTTACAATCTGAGGCCACATGGGGGCCGAAGGGTTTAGGATGCTAACCATGTCACTGCAACGTACACAGTTTGAGTCCAGATTGTAGTAGCAAATCCCCCATATCTCTCTCTTTTGTCACGCTATCGCTGTGACAGAATCTGTCCACAGACAGAAATATGAACAGCAAAGTACTGAAAACCTCTTTTGTGGTAGTCCCTGCTACAGTAGATGTCTCCAGGACCACATTTTGTCATCACGACACACACACACACACACACAGACTCACAAGATGAAAATAATACCAGCGTCACTGTCACGGCTGGTACTCTAAGTGATAGTGATACAGTAGAAGTACAAATGCAAACATAAATATTGACAACTCGAGGATAACTGTCTTGTTTGTAGAAAATATTATTTTATATAATTAAATGAATTAAATAACATCCCGTTTCAAAATCAGTTCAGTAGAACACATTTGGAACAAAACAGCTGGTTAATGATAACTGCACAACATCCTGCTGACTCGTAAGACTCTTTTCATATTATCTGTTTGTTCTCTCAGACAGTGATAGAGATGAGTTCAGGCTGTTATGCGCGGATGGCACACAAGCTCCTCTCGGCCATTACAGAAACTGTAACCTGGGACGTGGTCCAGGAGGCGGCGGGGTCACCAGAGTTAACTTACGCAAGATTGCTCGCAAATTTCTGGTGACGGTACAGGTAATTCTTTTTTTTGTTCAATCGTTTTTTTTTTTCCCCACTTTTGCCCACAAATATCACACACTTTTGTTTCTGTGCTACATGTCCGTATACCCAAATAAAAGATGCCTAAATGATTCTTTATTGTTGCTTAGATGCTGTTTGGCCGACAAGGGAGAGAGAGACGGCGCTTCCAACTCTTCAACTCATCTTCTTTTGGAGAAAGCGACCTTCTCTTCAAGGATGTGACGGATAAACTAGCTGTTCTTCAAGATGACATGGATGTCAGTCAGGTGCTGGGGCTGGATTACGTGGCACTCCTCAAAGGTCTTGGACATGAAGGTGCTTGTACCCACATTGTTCATTTTTATATTAAAGACAGGCTGATTTCATGAGCTCATTGAACCTGTATGTGTGCAGGGAGCTCACTGGAGGACAGCGTTGTACGGTGGTGCTGTATTAGCCACGCAGAGCAGAATAAGTGTGAGCAGTGGGCTCTCAGTATTAAGTCAGACCCGCTGGTGTGTGTCAGAGCCGTCTCGATGCGCGAGTGTATCGAGAAAATTAAGGTAAGTCATTCAAGTAGCATGAATCGCAGGATCTCTGGATGTTATAGGTCTATCACAACTATAATTCAAGCTGCAACTATACCTCTCTACAGAGGGACGAGGTGGACGCCGTCTCGCTGGATGCAACTCACTCTTTCATCGCAGGAAAATGTGGTCTTGTCCCTGTAGTTACAGAATATTACGGTGAGGCTGCCGACATTCTCCAAATGCATTTACTCACAGCAGAGAGGCTTCTCCAAAACCAAGTTGGAGCTTTTTCGACTTTATATTATCGACTAATGGTCGTCATTATTGGATTTGTACAAATGATAATAATAAGGCAATTTTCAAACAACATAACTGTTCAAAATGGAGAAGCCATGACTATCCATGATAATAAAATGTATAATAATAATAAATGATAACACAAGTGCATTGAAATTAAAAGATTTAGATCAACAAAATAGAAATCTTACAGAAAACAAATGGACGTAAATATACAAGATCCAACTTTACGTGTCCTGTTGCAAAGCAGGAAGTTATTTTCATCATTAAGATATTTGAATTGAGGAAAATCCAATCATCAGTTGCCTTTCTGCCTGCAGCATCTAATACTGCAATTAACCACAATTTTCTACCCAGAGTTTTTCACTATTGTTTGACATTTTATAAACTAAACACTGAATCATCATTACATTATCTGCAGTCATGGTCTTCATTGATTAAAAGACATTGATCTGTTTCCACTGTGTTCTCTTGGCCTCTCAGGAGAAAAGTGTGTGCTTGCTGAGGGAGCATCCCACTTACAGACAGACGGTAAGACATCCCAGTGAACGAACAACTTGCAATAATCATAACACATTTCATACATAAAGCACCTTTCATACAATAATCTTGGTATCCGATGTGATTGTCGTCTTTACATTTAAAACGGCCACCGTCTCTCTCCTCAGTGTTGCCCTCAGTGGTGGGTGTGGCAGTCGCAAAGCGCTCCAGCAGAAACGTATTCATCGGGAACCTCGGAGGCCGCCGCTCCTGTCTTGGCCACATGTACAGCCCCGCAGGCTGGCTGCTGCCATACAGACACACGTTAAGCCTGGAGCATAACTGCAGCTCCCCCTGTGATCCAAACCAAGGTACTGTTTCAAAACACTCATGTGCATGAGTGGATTACAAAGTGTTAGGGCCCCCGCCTGACCTTCACCCACAACATGTCAATCAAAGACACGCATATCAACCAGGAAGAGACTCAAAATCAAACAAAGAAACATAAAATGACTACAAAGGGACACAAAAAGACTACAAGGTGTTGCAAAATAGCTGCAAAGAGACTAACAAGGACTGTGAAAAGGGCCAAAACAAATACAAAGAGACAGAAATAGACTACAAGATACACAAAATAACCACAAAAAGAAACATGAAATTACTAGAGAGAGAGACACAAAAGGACGGCAAAGTCTAACTACCAGAGACTCAAATTGACTACAAAGGGACACAAAACAACAACAAAAAGAGGCTGTACAACTGTAAAGTCTGTGTGTCTTGCTCCTACGTGGGAGAGGTGGCGGGGCCTTTGCGTGTCTCTTTAGAGGGGCTCGTTGTGTCATAATCTGACAATGTTCATGTGGAGCTGCATAAAAAGCTTTATCACACCTGAATTTATTTTTATATTTACAATAGTAGTCGTCGTTGTGTTTTATCTCTTCTCTGTGTGCTGTGACCTCTTGGCCTTTACACTTTCTGCTGTTGGTCTCTTAAACATACTATTACACACACACACACACACACACACACACACACACACACGCAGAGCTGCAGTTTGTCACTATGTGTGTTTTCTCAGTGTACAACGACGTGTTTTGGAAAGGCTGCCTTCCTGGCTCTCAGGGGAATCTGTGTAAAGTGTGTGTGGGCGGCACCGGGGAGGCTGCCACCAAACGCTGTGCTGACAACCACAATGAGCGTTACTATGGCAACATGGGGGCATTGAGGTATGTGCTGACCTGAACAAAGGCTTTGCTGTTCATGTGCATTTACACCGTTTTTATGAAGATTGAATATCTTTTGTGGTATCCAGCCATCAGGACAGTTGTGGTTTATGGCTCTCCGGTAGAAAGTTTAAAATCGTTCGGCATCTGCCATCATTCTTAAGTAGAGGCCAAAGTGTTTACAGACTAATATCTCAACCCTTGAGACATGGATGTCTCTTGACACCCTTTAATCCTTTACTCACTGTTCATAGGTGTCTGGTTGGAGATGCCAGTGGTAAAAGCTACGGCGACGTGGCCTTCCTCGAGCAACACAACCTTCTTGCAAACATCCTCAGTGAGATAATCAAGATGGCATTTTGACATGAACACACACACACTTTTGCTAACATGTAGTTTATGTTTGTTAAGTAATATTATGCCTTTGTGTTGCTGTTGCAGGTTTGAGTTCCACTGGTTGGGCAGAGGGGTGGACGTCATCCGACTACGAGCTGCTGTGTGGTGACGGTCGTCGGGCCCCGCTGTCAGAGTGGGAGAGCTGTAACCTCGGATCCATCCCTCCGAACTCCATCATGACACGACCGGTGCTCACGTCACGCGTGTACGACTTCCTCATGAAGTCACAGGTCAGCTTATGTGAACAGATTTTTGTTTAATAAATGTGAGTGTTTCAAATCAGGTTGTCCTTTTACACCTCATGTGGACTATCAACCCTTAAAGCTGCAGTTTGGGACAGATAGGAAATAGGAAAGTCTTGACGATGTCTGTCTCTGGTTAGCCTCATGCTTGCCATTGCATTTTGAATAAGTTTATTTCAGGTCACAGTTTGATGCTTTACTTTGAGAAATATACAAATAAACACAAAAGAAAATGACTCATATCTCAGATGTTAAAAGTGTCTAAACACAAGCAGAGAAAGAAAAAGTAGACAAGAGTACAAATCTGACCAGACATTTGATTCCAGCTTTTGTTTTATGCTGACCGAAATGAGAACAGACAGTTAAACTATGATCTTTGGCATTGCGGAAAGGAACAGGGGAATGTTTAGGTGCTTATTTACTCTCTTTTTAAACCTTCTAGGAAACTTTTGCAGCCAACCCAAACACGGAGTTCAAGCTCTTTGAGTCTCAGCAATATGGAGAGAGTGATCTGCTGTTCAAAGATGCAACTCAGTGTTTTGTGCACACAAGCCACTTGGACTACCGCTCCATCCTCGGAGAGGAGTTTTACAGTCAGGCAGAAACCGCCTTCAACTGCACACAATCTGGTACGACTGTAATCAGATACTTCTGCTTGTTTGTGTCAAACGTATAATCAAACCACCGCTCCCACACATGTTGATAACGCTCATGTTTGCATGTGTTTTCCTTATAACAGATATCTTGGAGTTTTGTAATCAGGACGTGTGCAGCATATTCTAATGGACACACAGAGGGAAAAGTTACTTTTCTCTGTGCTACTCAGTGGTTCAACCCTTCATCCACAATCTTGTTTCGTCCACATCCGACGTCTGCAAACCATCAGTGGTATCGTCCTGTTCACGGCTGACGTTCTATTCAAAACGTTGCTGCCTGATTGAAGTGATTAGTCATTACTATTAATACGCGTTAAAGGATAGAGAAAATCAACTTTCAGATTCCATTGTAACTTAAAATGTTGTGTTGTGTAATGGCACACATATGGGTTTAAAATCGATCTGTGTAGAATAAGAATATGGAGCCATGTGTTACATTTTTACACACACCAATTATAGCACTGTATTTGTTAATACATAACATGAGTGTGAGACTGGGAACATAAGATCTATGGGGATGCCATTTTAAAGCAATGTTTACTGTTCATTATCTTTAAAGAAACTGTGAAACTTGCTTACAGAATGTTTGACATTGAAACTTTGGTTTAAATAAAGATATACAAACTTCACAGGAAAAACACTGAATACAGCTTAATACAGCTAGGACTACTGCATTTTGTGTTGAACAACGTTACACAACGTATTTAATCCAATTATGTTGGTGCAAGTTATTCAGTCATCTTTTTCTTTATTACTTGTGTCTGTGTTTACCGTTAGTTAAAGTAATACTTTTTATAAATAATTTTAAAGGTGCAAGTTACAGATTTAGGAGGATTTTGATTGCCTCCCAACGGCTCTCAACATGTTGACAGCGAGCCAACAGCTGACAGAGCTGACAATGTTTACCTGAGAGGCTGGCTGGTATTATCAGCTGTAACAGCCAAGTGAGAGCAGTGCAGAGCAGCGGCAGTGAGTTAACCAGCGTGACTTAATTCTCTGCTCAGGTACACATTACTCCCCTATATATTATTACACAGCAAATAGTTGTTTTCTGCTATATTAATGTTCAGAATGTTAAATACAGCTCCTTTAACTGTATTGATTCCTTTGGACTACAATTTGTTATCAAGAAAAAAAATGATTTAACTTGGCTTCAAAGTATGAATAAATATAAATATAGTGATGTCAGAAGGAATTTGTTAATTTATTCAGAAAGGAAGGCAAATAAAACTGAACACCCCGGCAATCTGGATCTTACTTTTTTTTAACTGCAACTCCCAGACTACAGCGCGACTGTGTTTGGTGTTACGTTAAACCTGGTATTTCCGGTTTCTGCCACTGTGAGAAAAGTTCCCATCTTATATCAGCCTGTTGTCAAGTTATTCAACCAACGCGTTGAAGCTGCTGACACTTTGCCGTGCCCGTTATTACCGTTAAACTGATAAGGTATAGTAACTAACTGACTTAGCTAAACATAGTAAGCTGGATAAGTGAGTACATTAGCCAGCTGTGAGCTAAGCTACCGGTTACACTGTAGGGAAGTCTCAACTATTTCTTGCTATATTTCAATATTCAGCTGCATATATTCAAGCTTTGTTGGCATTAACCATCTTAACGACATTATAAGGTAATTAAAGTGTGTGTTCGCTGTGAGTGGCCTCTTAGCTAACGTCTGATTTGTACACTGACTTGTCCCCGCCCCTCTGTGAGGAACATGGAGCAGGCGGTGTGAAAATGCATGCGGTTTTTATTGATGTTCATCAATTTGTCTCGCTGTAGATGAGATTACCACAGCGATTCCTCACACTACACGCAGCACCTGTGAGGAGGGCATCCTCGGTCCCTGTGGTGAGCTTTGTCCCCGCCTGCAGCACCGCAGACACCCACTCCCTGGAGCTGCTGCAGGACTTTGTGTCCCGAGCAAGTCGCCTGTTTGTCATCAGTGGAGCCGGACTCTCCACCGAGTCAGGGATCCCCGACTATCGTTCAGAGGGCGTCGGGCTGTATGCTCGCACAGACAGGCGACCCATGCAGCACGCGGAGTTTGTCCGCAGCGCAAAGTCCCGTCAGCGCTACTGGGCCAGAAACTTTGTCGGGTGGCCGCAGTTCTCCTCCCATCGGCCGAACTCCGCACACGAGGCCCTGCAGCAGTGGGAGCGGAGAGGCAAGCTGCACTGGCTGGTGACACAGAATGTGGATGCTCTTCATTCAAAGGCAGGACAGAAACGACTGACCGAGCTCCACGGCTGTGCCCACAGGTGAGAAAAACACCTGCCACGTTAATCATGAGCCTCCTGTAGTGGTTGTCAAGATTGTAGTCTTCAAATTTGCTTTATTTTGTCCAGGAAAAGGACAAATGTTACATATTGGCACATGGTATGTCATTCGATTTGGTGTAAATACAAATGATAAACAACAATGAAAGAAAACATTTTCACCCCTAGTTATATTTATTAGTTCTGGATTATTTGGCCAGTTTTTTCCTGCAGCCACCCAAATGCAATAGAGGTGATATCTCAGAGACAGATATCACAAAACCTGGGCATCTATTGACACCACTCTATGTTTTGTCATTTGGGTGAACTGACCCTTTTAAGTCACCATAAAGATACATTATTATTCTTCATATACGTGTCCTCAGGGTGTTGTGTCTTGGCTGTGGTGCCATCTCAGCGAGGGAGGAGCTGCAGACGCAATTTGTAGCGCTAAACCCGGACTGGAGAGCACAGACGGGCGGCGTGGCTCCGGATGGTGATGTCTTCATAGAGGACGGCCAGGTCCTCAATTTCCGAGTTCCCTCCTGTGAGAGCTGTGGAGGGATACTGAAGCCAGAGGTCACGTTTTTTGGAGACACCGTGAACAAAGCGACGGTACGGTTTGTGCACGACAGACTGGGGGAGTCGGATGCGGTACTGGTGGTGGGGTCGTCGTTACAGGTAGGTTTTAGAGGCACTTTGGTCAAACATAACACTTGTATTAACACACTTCTTCTGGACTTGTGTGTGTAATTGTGTCCCTCTCTGTTATTCACAAGGTTTATTCAGGATACAGGTTTTTACTGGCAGCTGGTGATCGGAAAATGTCCGTTGCCATCGTGAACATCGGGTCCACGAGGGCTGACCACCTGGCTGAGCTGAAAGTGAGCAGCCGCTGTGGCGAAGTGCTGTCGGTCATCCGACCTCTCTGACCGTCATGGACGTGCAGTTTGGGTAATCTACATTAAGATGGTCAAAACTACCTCAGATTCAAACTGGTAAACAACATCATCAACTTCAGGAGGAATGTCTCGACTGGCACTTTGTTCGAGCTACATAAAAGTAACCAGGAGCATTTACAATTCGCTGCCATTATCAAAGGACGACAATAACTAACATCTACTCTCACATATGTTATGCAGAACCAGTGAAAACAAGTGTGCCTGTCTTGGAAATTCAACTTCTCTTCACAGTACAGATTGCTGTCAGTTGATCATCATCTTGGTGCGACACATCTGCTCTGCCAGGGGAAACAAGAAGCCTCGAGCTGTACTGTATTTAGCACCGGCTAAATACCATATAGAATATGTGCAGCAGATCATGCAGCGTGTGGTTCACTGTCTGAAGGCCCAGAGTTGACATGACGATTGGAGGATGGGGCCACGTGGTTCGTCTTCTCAGGCTCTGTTCAACGTTGTGTACTGATGCTGCTTTTATTTAGATTATTGGAAATATCGATGAAGCAGTGTTCTTGTTTGTGAAACCGCAGGCTGTTATTGCACAAAGCTAACAATCATGTTGCAGTAAGACACAGTGGGTAATTTGACAATGTTTTAGAAACTAATTCAAGTGGAGAAAATGTAAAATACACTGTAATCAACTGGTTTTAAAGGGTGGGATTCGATTTGCACTATCCTGGCATAATTTTGTGTGTTTTTAAATAATGGTGCCGACACTGATGTGTGAACATTTTAAATGTTAACATAGTCAACAGAATCAACATTTTCTTAATATGTTAAACATATAACTACAAGTATGAGGCTTTAAATTACAAACTACATCCTGTCAATCAGTGGCTTATGTTTTACCTGAAACTAATGCAAATATTTATATTCAGTCATGACAAACATGCTATTTTATGAATAATGCCAAAGCATTAAAGCACTTCATCCATGAAATGAAATGTATTGTGTGTTTGCATCGTGTCAACCAGTGCATGTTAAGAAATAAAGAGCTGTTTAATGTAGAAATAAAGTAAAAACCACGTTCATTTAAGTTTATTTTAAAGACAAATTTCATGTCAGCATCACAAACAGACTGAGGGCAGAGTGACTGTGGATTGACAAAACGTAAGATCCGTTAGAACATTTTGCTGCTTAAATCGCTCTTGTAAACAAAGCCTCCAGTGTTCCAGGTTGGACTGCAGCGCTTTAAGCAGCACAGCCGGGAAGCTGAAGGAGTACAGACAAAACCTGTGACCTGCAGAGTCTGCCTGCCATGTTGCTGAAGCTGTAGTTACTATCAGGGGAGTCATAGACAGACAGTTTTCAAAGCTCTTGGTCTGATCAAACCAGTAAGTGACAGGGAAACCCAACAAAAGACCAAACACTGTGCACAGGTTCCACTCATCTGACTTCTCACCAACATAATGAGGTTCCTGAGCCTCCTTCAGTTGTTCAAGCCCTCTCAGGAGAAGCAGTAAATCTTGTGTCTCTCCTCTGAGCGAGTCAGCGATGATGGGCTCCTCCAGCGTGTGGCAGATATCAATAACAGCCACATTGTTATCATGCAACAGCTGTTCTACATTTGATCCGACTGTAAGTGTATTGACAATAAGACTGTTTCCATTCAAATCCAGTGTGAGAAGTGATTTAGACACAAGCTGGGAAGACTGCAAAGAGCTCAAATACTGCTGCACCTGATCTGCTCCGGCGCTGTTGCTGTCGTACAATAAAGCCGGTTTCAGTCCCAAATCAACAGCCGAGACCTGAGCAGCCAAATCCAGAGTCTGAGGGACGGAGAGAGATTTTCTACCAGCAGACAAACATCTACGAGCTGCAGCAAGAAAGAGCTCCTGAGTGGACATAGCTGGAGGAATCGCGTTACATACGATTTTAATTATTTTAAAAGAATATGGGACAAAAACAATATGAACGGAGACACTGATTCAATGTAATTATTTATCTTCAGGCATCCTACAATGACATGAGAAAAAAAATATTCTACAAGAAAATTAAGCTGATTTGGGTCTGATTTGTTAAAGGAAAACTAGTCAAACAAAAGTCATTCATTCACGACCCTCGTATCTTCTTTGTTGGTCCAAGACACCTAAAGGGACAAAAAGATGCCATCAGTTACAAACGTGTAGCTCTGATTTTCAAGATGAATAAAGTTGCTACAATAAGACACATTTGCTTAATAGTGAACTGAACCACACCTCCCTCTGGCTCTGACAAAAGGAGATGATCTCACCATTATCCTGGTTTTAGCGGTGATGTATTTTGAATATGTTATGTCATGGGCTGAGGAGACATCAGGTCAAAATCTGAGAGATTTCTTGCAACCCAAACACCAGCTGCAAACAAGCCCAGGTTGACCAGTAGATTCCTAAAAAGTCACAATTGACAAGATTAAAGCTTTAAACAAAGAACAAAAACTACATTTATAAGCCAGCTGAAAATAAAAACACTAAATAGCAAAAAAGGTTTTTGTAATTTGTGTGGTGATTTGATTAAACACATTAAACATTTGATTAAACAGCCTGACCAGTACTGGATTGTTATGGCAAAATGAATGATAAATGAAAATCTAAATAATGACACTAGATAAAGGTAATTATTTGTTACTATATTGTAACTGAAAGAGGAGAGAGGGATATGACAGGACCCTAAAATCCAGGTGATAAACCAGGACCCGCACAGGGGTCATAGGAGTGTTTAGCTGTAACGTTAGTGATGCAGATCAAATCAATTCAAGAATCCGTTGACATACACTCAAAAGCCCTTTCGAGGGCTCCTGGAATGTTGAGACCTCGGAGCAGTTTCCAACTAAACCCGGTTGGTAATCCAGCCTTGATACTGACTAAGTGGTTTGACTGAGAGAGATTGGACGAGGCAAGGACAAATCTCCCTGACGCAGTGTGTGCTAACGTTAGCTAACGCGGCTAACAACCACACTGTTCACACACACACACATTCATCCACATTAACGCACCTTCTGAAGTCATTTTTGTCCGTTGCAAACCGACAAGCTGAACCGATCCACTCCATCACACTGGCGGAAGGACCCTTTTTACCGTCTACTCCGCTCATCTTGCTATCGTGCTGTTGTAACGACAGAAACAGCTACAACGAGGGGAGCCGACAGGAGGAAGAGTTTAGATGTGACACAAGTACGGTGAGCGATAAAGCTCAAAACTCACGCGTCCTTAAAACAAACGTGATTGTTATTATATGTACAAAGATGTCTGCCACCAGGTACCGTCGGTTCCTGAAGCTGTGTGAGGAATGGCCCCGGGACGACGCCAAGAAAGCACGGGATTTAGGGACGTTTCTGCGACAGAGAGTAGCCTCAGCCTTCCGTGAGGGTGAAAACACACAGGTACTTCTTTTACGTGAACACAACACACGGCTACATAACACAGCGAGCTAAGCTAAGTGGATCATGTGCCGTCGACCTTGCCTGGTTGCTGATACCTGTGAAGCCTCTTTATGATCAACACTGTAATCATCAGTGTATACCTTTTAATCAACCAGGTAGAAAGGCTTTCATCACGTAGACCAGGGGTCACCAACCGTTTTGAAACTGAGAGCTACTTCAAGGGTACCGAGTAGTACGAAGGGCTACTTGTTTGATACAAACTTCCTGAATAACAAAGTTGCACAGATCACCTTTTAATAATCATAATATATGTGAAGAGACTAATCACATGTCAATGTTAATTATTCCTCACAATAATTATTAACAATGATTGTGTATTTTGTTGAAAATCACACCTGTTATATTTTTGTAAAAATTATCACTTCTAAAATTTTTTAGGAAATCATTAACTATCATATCTTCACATCTTGGTTTGTACTAATCACTACCTTCGTAACATTTTTGAATAAATCATGAACTCTGTCCCATGTTTATACAAATTATCAGTTATGTAGAATAAAAAAATCAACTATTTCACATGTTTAAATGAATCCTATTACATTAGTACTAATCACCACATTTTGGGAAATCTGGGTCAACTTTGCATTGCGCAATGAAGCCTGCATGCCGGCCTGTAGTCTGTTGTCACCAGTTTTTTTTGAGTACCTTTTTCTCCACGAAGAAACTAGTAAAAAGTTTCGTCTATAGCCGAGGGGGGGATCCAACCCTCCGAGGCACGCGAGCGCCTTTGGTCGCCTGCGTTCAAACCTCTAGTCTGGGCCTTTTCGATCGTACTGCGTTGCCTCGCCTCTACCCCCGCCACCCACGAGTTGTTGCCCGCGGCCTGTTCCGAGGACTGACGGACCTGACGACGGTGTGCGATCGCGGCGGGTGCGGCGCGTCCGGTGCCAACGGGAAGCGCCCGCCATTCGGAACCTGAAAACCTAGTGCGGTGCGGCCTCTTCCTTTTTAAAATCTACATGAATGCAAGCGTTTTTGATTAAAACAGGACAGAAACTACAATTTTTAGACGGAGCTCCATGGGGACCTAGTGCTATTTTTAGAACATGCCTTGCGGGCGACTCACATGGTCCCTGCGGGCGACTCACATGGTCCCTGCGGGCGACTCACATGGTCCCTGCGGGCGACTCACATGGTCCCTGCGGGCGACCAGGTGCCCGCGGGCACCGGTGTTGGCTACCTCTGACGTAGACAGTGTTCCATAGTTGTGCAAGTAGCCTACAGAGGTGACGTTACTTGCACTTTGTAGTTCTAATATATACTACTGTATATTTGTACATTCCTAGTAAAAAAACAACAGATGTACTGTACACATTTTATAGTATTTTTTTCGTATTGTGAATGTTTCTTTTTTATTTTCTCTCTACTTTCTTTCATCATCAACACACAAATCAACTCTACTTACATTTTTTTTCAAAGAACAAATCTTGTATTTTGAATTCAGTAATTTGTAGAATATGATTATCTATATACAACAATTGACAATACAGTGAATAAAACAAACACTTCATCTGTTTGCACTTTTATACTTTTGTTGTTCTCTTATAAATGTCAGTAAAATAGCTGAAGTTATATTTTCTTCCATGGAATCTGTCATATATATATATATATAAATTTAATTTTTACTAATATAAAAATTTTATTTTTTTTTCCCATTAGATCTCTGATCCAGAGAAGTGTGACCAGATGTATGAAAGTTTGGCCCGCATTAATGATAATTTCTACAGACAACGAGTAAGTACACTATATTATTCACATATCTCATGTGCTGCTGTATCTGCTACATCTACGCATTAGAGCTATTTTAATTACTTTGTTGCCTAATGGGGGACATTCTTTGGTGTGCGCATTTCCTTTTAAATGCAACAGCTGAAAGATAAATCCTTACAATACAATCCCCCACCAGAGTTTGTAACATGAAATGTATATCAGCTAAGGAATAACTTTACACTCTGTCGTGTTCAAGACTGTAAAGAGAACCGTGTGACAGTTACTTTTTAGCATTTGAGGATAATAAAATACTTTTATAGTTTGTACAAAGTTCTCAATACGTTATTGTTACAAAAGCGCCTCAATGTACTGTTTACCATTAGAAAGATAATTTGCATCAAGTACTCGTCACAACAATGTATTCTGTCAGCGGTTGGGAGTGTAAAAGGTATAAAAAGACTTTTGTGTGTTTAATGCAAACATGTCTCTGTATCTGCTCACAGTTCCCTCGTGTAAGAGACACAAGCTTTACTGGAGTTACAGTGGAAGAGTGTAAACTGCTTTTGTCAGGTATGGACCAACATTATCACAGTTCTGTTTATGAGTATTTATAAAACACTTTTATTACAGTTAACTTTATTTTCATTGTACAGGAAATGTGCAGCAGATGGACGAGGAAAAGAAGGGATTGTGGAAGACGTTAATGGAAAGATTCTCCAAATCACCAGAAGACGCTCCAGAGAAAGCTCCTGAAAAATAACCTCACTTTTCTTTTGTCATGACATGTATAGAAATAAAGCTTATTGTTGTTAACTTTAAGGACTGTTGTGTTATTATGATCTACTGTGATGGGCTTTTCAAACTATTTGAACTCCGCAGGTGTTAATTGCGTCATTTGTAGCATTTGAGGAATCAAAACAAAATATAAAGACGGGTGAGGAATTCCTACAAATATATATTTGACTGAAACTAAGTTGAAATTTACTTCCACCAAGGTTTTGTTTCTTTGTTCATTCATTCTGTTAGTCAGATTGTCTGAAGAATGTGTGATAGATTTGAATGCAATTTAGTTAAACTTACAGTTGTGAGCCGAGAACAAAGTATTTTTTAGTTTTTGGGACTTTTTAAAAGAATTTCTAACATAATAGGATCTCTATGAATATTTTACACACTACAGAATTAACTAGAAGTAAAAAATATCTGGTACATTTTGTCGGTAAATACAGACTACTGATCCGATACTTCTGTTATCTTTTACTCAAATTTAAAATGTGTAAACCTCGCTGGATGTAGAGTTGGTGACCTGCTGTGACATAAGGAATGGATTCAACAGTGAATTAGATCGAGATCTTTATTATAAATTGAGTTCCAGCAGTTACTATAACACAGGACTCTTTGTAATAAATGCACACACAAAATGAGACTATTTAGAAAAAGCAAATAAATGCAGTTTTACACTTTATTCTAAACACACCAAGAACTTCATTTATAAACCCATATGACAAGGTTTTTCTCATTCACTTCAGTTTAAACAGGTAACCTGAACAATATGGCTTTTTGTGTGTACAATATGGATATTGAAAAAACTGATTTACTTGCAAATGAGTAAGAGCTTTGAACAATGCACTTTTTTTTTTTTTTAGCAGGGATCTCTTGAATTTGAGTAACAAAACAATGACCGATCAGAGGCAGGTTGTCTTATCCTTCCTTAATATGCTGCAGATGACTGTAAACAAACACGTCTGCTAGCCATACTGTGGCAGCACCACCTGTCTCCTACTCTGTCTTCTCACGGTTGTCTCTCCATATGCAGTAGTTGAGAGCGGTGGCGAGGCACAGCCAGGTCAGGTAGGGCGCCATCAGAAGTGTGGCAGTGCGGCTGATGGGATGCCAAGACACCATGGTGGCTCCAACAACCCCAGTAAGAAGCACAATTTCCATGAGTGCCTAAATTGGGCAATGAGAGGGTGTTAAATGGAGATGTGGATGAAGGATATTAAGCTGTCCTCCCTCATAATCTTATGTGGTAAACAAATAAAGTTTATGTGTGAAACTTACCAATTTCAGCTTGTGTGCACGAAAGAAGATCGGAGTCCAGGCCCAGTTGAGAGCTAGCTGCAGCCCATAAAGTCCCAGTGGAACCAGTGCATCCTCAGTAAAACCTCCCAGCTCCTTCCACACCAGGTAGGATCCATACCTGCATAACAAAATTAAAAATAAATGCTAATTTAGATAAGGAGGTTGCATCACTGAATAAAGAACAGAAGTTGTAGATCTCAGAGCCTGCATGAGCCAGTCACGATGACGCTTACCCCATTCCTGTATACAGACAGGTCCAGACTATGGGGAATGCTGCATTTGGTGGACGCCATGATGGTTTCTGCAGGGTCAGGTACCAGGTCTTCACCTCTTTGCGTGTGATGTAACCCCCGTAGAGCCCTCCCAGGTGGGGCAGAGCAGTCATTCCAAGCATGGGCAGCCACATGTTCTGTGATAAAGAGCAGCAGACACATTATAGGTGTTTGAGCTCTGCTCGGGCTGGGTATCAAACCTCAAAACTATTTGAGTATTGAGAAATGTGGCACTGGATTATTAATAATAAGGACAAGGAAATTAAAGCACACGTGATACAATAAGAGACACAGAGCTGAGGAGGTGGTAATTCTTCATCACTACTGAGGAGCCCCATTCATTGTCAGTTATTACTGCAAGCAGAACGACTTGGAAAATCACTGAAATATCATTTAATTCAAGTATGTAAATGTGAAAAGAATGACGACCAATGTCTGTTGGCTAAAGAAGTCATAAACCTAGAGTTATAAATATTAGAAAACAGTTACCAAGTATTTGGCAAAACTTCAGAGTCACGTAACTGTCGGTCTACATAATAGGAAATTACGAAATACGTTTTATAACAACAGCAACACATGCTAGTTTAGAGCTAACGTTAATCGCTATTTTCTTCGATTTATGGCGGTAAGACAGCACTGAACGACACTAACGTTAGCTAAGTTAATGTTTCAGTAGCGCAAAGTTAGATAAAGATACATTTACCGTCTTTATATATTGACAGTAACGTAACTACTGTTGGGTTACAAGTTACAACATGTTACGTACCCCTCAGTCAGTTGTCAGCTCCTCCGCACAGTTGCATGTAACGTTATATTGTTTAGTCGGACTAACTGAGGCTACACCTCGACAGTGTGATATTAGTTTGTTGAACGGGCAGGGCCACCTTATCAGGTCGGTCAGTAACAGACACTCCCCATGCTAACGCGCACATGCGCACAAACGCAGACAAACAATGTGACGTCGCAGCCTGGGTACCAACTGTTTGGTCGCGAGGACAAACTCAAGAGAGGACTGGCGGTTGGGGAGTATTTGGGTAGCTAGCGAAATAATGATGTTGTATAACGCCAGCTACCGTGCTCCATTAAAAAGGTCCAAAGATCACGAAACACTACCGTACTTCTTGGTCGGCCTGTTTCTACGTATTTATTTTTGAAGTACTCCAAAACAGGCACAACTGGATCCGTGACTGAAGAGGCAGCAGCAGAGATTACAAAAACGTCAAGATAGTTGCCCGTAGTCCCTCTCATATTTAGCTTTTGTTCCTATGTGTGGTCAGTTTGAACGGAAAGCTACCATAAATATTATTCTGGCTAGTAAAACTTGATAACACATTTAAATGGTAATGTAAAGCAATCCTACATACATGTAGAGTCTCGTAAAATGGTTGCACCATTTAATCCTTGAAGTAAAAGTGGAAATAAGATAGCCCTATCAGCAAAATATACTTAAAGTGTCAAATGTAAAAGTACTCACTCCGCAGAATGGCTATTTTAAAGTGGTATGTTATTGATATGGCATATTATTCTGTTTTATCACCAACAAATACAAGATAATTTTGATGTTGTAGTTCGTCAATGTGGAGCCAATTTTAGATACTTAGTATACTGGGTAGTAGTATCATAGGCTACTAAAGTAATAGTATCTAAGTATTAGTGGATGGCCTAAAAAAAGTTAATATTTCCCTCTGAAATGTAGTGAAGTAGAAGTAGGCATATATAAAAAGCATATAATAGAAATAGCTTACTTAAGTAAAGTACAAATATGTCAAAATTGTCCTTGAGTAGAGTGAATTATTGAATGTCTCTTAGGGAGTAAACGAGAGAGTTGCCGTCTTATCTTTATTACATTTAATAAGCCCTAATTATTTGTTGATAATATTTTGTATTATTAATCTGAATCTGCAACAAGTAACTTAAGTTATGAAATAAATGGTGGAGCAGAAGTATAAAGTAGCAGAAAATGGAAATACTTAAGTAAAGTACGAGTAGGGCTACCTTAAAATTGTACTAAAGTGCATTAGGCCAGGCTGCCTGTTGTGGTATGGTCTCATCTAACTCCCAGTAAGAAAGTGAATTAAGATATTTGTTCCACAATATCAAACTATTCATTTCAGTGATCAAAGAGAAGATAAATGTGAAAACACAGTGAAAGTCAAAGAGAAGTAGGCTAATAATAAGCTGGAGGATGACTTTAATAATACGCTAAAGTCATGCACACACTCATGAGGGGATATTTGGAGTAAAATCTCGGGTAGAGATGCTCTCTCTTCCCAGTTCAGTTGTGTGTGTGTGTGTGTGTGTGTGTGTGTGTTTTGTGGTCACCCCTCCTCCTCGTCCGTCAGCCAGACACACCTTTCCTCTGTGGTCCTCCAGCGTTTCTTACCTTCTTGTCGCTTCTCTCAGCCTCGTTGTCTGGCGGTGAACTCTCACCCCAGCTGCTTGGGAAATGTCATACAGGCAGAGGCCCGTGCTGCAGTAGGGGGGCGTAAAAGGAGGAAAAAATAACAACATTTTTTACTGCCCTCACTGCATCTTTTATCCGCGTCTCTGCCGTGCGAGAGCCACATGCCGCTACCAGCAGCAGCAGCAGCAGCCGCCGCCGACAACTAATCGCAGTCTCAAAAGCTTATTTCGCATTAGGGCTAATATATATATATATATATATATATATATATATATACACACACAAAAGAATCCGTGCCAGACATGTGAGTATAGCAAACCATTGCTGTCGTCCTGACTGCTATGTGTTCACGCTGTTGTATCCTCTCACCAATGAGAACAAATGGTCATTGAACCGTGTCGTTGTGCATTTAGAGTCAGTGTGCTGGTTTCACGGTGGCTGAGCTGAAGTCTCTGCACACTGACGGGGCAGATGAAGCCTCGCTGTCGGCTTGTTTTTGGGAGCTCTGCGTCGGCTTGGCTAATTGAGCAAAAAAAAAAAAAAAAGGCTGTGATTTTCCTGCTGTAAACAGCCCAGATGTAGGGGAAAGCCCATTCAGTCAATGGGATGTATGACAAGTGTCTATAAAGTAGCCTAGCCTTCTTCTTCTTTTCTTTTCTTTTTTTACATAGACTAGCTGTGAATTGGTGGTGTGTAGTCCAGCCTGGCATCTCCAGTCAGATGTGGAGGCCCAGGTTACAGTACACATAATGCGGCGGTGTTGATCTGAAATCGGTTTGTAGGGATATGTGAGGGTGACATGGAGCAGAAATCACGGGAGCAGATGTGAGCACCAAAAACAGGAGATGTTGCTGTGTGTTATTGTCTAATGTGTTATTGTCTTGAGCTCAAAGCACAGATGTCTAAGATTGTTTTAGAAGTGTTGTTTTTTTTCATTCTTGATTTAAAGATACATAGTTTGTGATTTCCAGTAAGAACTTTACAGGAAACTCTGTACTGTAAGAAAAAAAAGCATAGTATTCTTTTAATCATTTATAATATTTGGTCTGGTTTGTTTGTGATTGTACATATGGATGCACTGGTCAGCTATTTCTATCCCGATCCGGCGATACTTGAACTCAGGCTATTAGCCATGTTCAGTTTAAAATCTGGTTACCATGTTTTCTATTTATAGCAACATGTTGTGGGACTTAATCTAAGCCAGCAGCCCACTGGGAATGTAAAAATGAAGTTATTGATTTCATAATAAAATTGACAAAGAAACTGAATACATGCCATGGCTGGTACACAATCCGCTAGGTAAGGTCAGAGTTGTTGGTGAGAGCATCCCTCCTTTTCACCACATCTCACGGTCTTCATCGTGGAATGAAGACATTAACTCTATTATTTCGTTGTGGGGTGTATTTCATTATGTTGACAGACGGGGAGAAACTCAAAAGCTCCCAACTGTCACTGTAACTTTGTAATTGTTGTCAAAAAGTAATATTGCTAGATGTTTTGCGATCATGATTTTAAATGTGAGGCTTTTTCGGACATTTTATATTGACATTGAATAATAGTGAGGTGACAGGAAATGAGGGAAGAAAGAGGAAGGATGACATGCAGCAGGTTCAGGCCCCCGGGATGCCCTGAGTCCACGTATATTTACTGCTAAAAATGATATTTGATGCTCGCTTGTAGGGGAGATTTATGTACATAAAAGTTGTAAACCTGAATGTTGTTAACGGTTTCAGGGGGGAGAACATGATGCTTCTCTTGAAGATGTCAGTCCAACAAACGAACAGGCTTGTGACGACGATGCCCAGTCGAAGATCCTGGGATTGATACGTGAATCCCTTTACGCTGATGGCCTGGGCTGAGTAAGAAGTTTGTGTGTGTCTGTTCCTTGAAGCTGGATGCTCAATGTTGTGTTGTCTGAGTTGGATAACTGGCATTCAATTGCTGATATTGTTAAATGGCAGTGGGTGATGATGGTTGCTTCCATGACAGGTTTCAGCTGGCCTGCTGAAGCTATGGGGAGCTGTTGGAGCTGTTTGTACAGAGACTCCATCCGAGACAACCATCTCACCAAATTTAAGGTAAATAATCCCACATTTACTTTAAATTCAACACATTTCTTTGGATCTTTGGGCTAGTAATCACCTGTGTATCCCCACCAAGTGTATTGCAATAATCTGCACTTAAAATTCCTTCTCTCCATGTAATATATTTCTTCTCTCTGTGCCAGGTCACCAATGTGGACGATGAGGGCAACGAGCTGGGCTCTGGGATCATGGAGCTCACCCAGACCGAGCTCATTCTTCACACGCGTAAGAGAGACGCCATCCGGTGGCCGTATCTCTGCCTGCGCCGCTACGGCTACGACTCCAACCTGTTTTCTTTTGAGAGCGGTCGTCGCTGTCAGACTGGGCAGGGTAAGCAACTGTTTCTCTGCTTCAGTGCCACAACCGCGGAGTCATGATTAGAGCTGGGCCATATGGATAAAATCAAATATCACGGTATTTTTGACCCAATACCTCTATATCAATATTGAGACGATCTAAGTAATCATCAGTAAAGTGGATATAGAGAATAAGTGGGTAAAGGTAAATAATAGAACAGTTACAACAGTTTAAGTTCATAAAATCACAATATCAATATTCCAGAATATATTACCCGGCCCTGGTCATGATGATGATTTTCTAGTGACAGTAATGTTGGCTGAATTCTAGGTAGTTGCTTCAGTTTCAGGGTCCTGTTATTGTGCATGCTGGCACACCGTCATGACTTACCGGGACACTTTAATAGAACAGAGCACACATGTTATTAGTTAGACCTGTGTTTTTTCTACTGTGACTAATCAAAATAACTGCTGTGAAAAAAGACTCGCGTCGTATTCAGAGTACACGATACCAGCCTGATAATGGCCCGACCCAACATGAGCATTTGGTGCAACAACTGCTTGCTATAGTGAAAGATAACTGACACAGGATCAGGGATGTCTCCGAACATCCCTGATCAAAAGCCTGTCTGAATCTTTTTACTTTCTCTCGTCCTGTTTGATAACTTTTATCATGAGTTCTGCGACGTTGACCCACAGGAGCACAAAGCGGGCTTTCGTGCACAGCAGAGTGCTGCAGGGATGATGTATTTTTGTAGGCTAACCCCAGAAGTTAGCATCGCACTGGTCCCCTTGACAAATAGCCAATGGGACATAAAGCCAATGGGATTCATTCGAGATTTTTGCAGAAAATAAGCTTTTATGGCAAACGCAAATGTATGACACTTACAAGTTTTGTTCAGCAAGATAATCTTATCTTACATCACTTATTATGATTTTTTTAATCACAAATGCAATCGGCAGAATTAAAAAGCCAACGTTCGGCTAACTAAACCACGGTCACATGAGCGTGAGTATACACAACGAGGTTATAAAGGCCAAGTAATGTTTGGCGTGCCGACGTTTAGTAGTCTAATTTAGCCACTTGTAACCAGCTGCCTTTTTTGAGACATGTAAAAGCTCAACAATTCTCTAGAGGGGTATTTACTGATGTATTTTATATGGTAGAACAAAACGTTGTAAAATCTTCAGCTTCTGTTAACCACAGACCTTATTTCAGGTATCTAACCAAAAACCCAGACGTTCAAAAAAAGCTAACTCATTTCCGGGTTTTAGGTCTCATTCCTGTAGCACTCTACTAGGTTGGGTTTACTCATTCAAAACTACTACATCGGAAATCAAAAGTGTTTATTGAGAAAGCCCGTCTTCACAAAGAGGGGAGACCTGATTTAAACACAGAAGATAACATTTTACATTTCCCGATCGTCCCTCCTGGAGGACATTCATAATGTTGTACTCAACCGTTTGCTTAGTTTGAAATTATACTTGTGTCAAGAATAAAAAAGAGGGCTTGAGAGAGAAGTTGCAACCCTGGCTCCTATCTCATCTCTGCACAGCTGGCCAATCACTGCATGAAGCGGGTGTGAATATCGGATTTTCATCTTACAGAAAACTACAGAAATGGTCGCACACATCCCCCCCTAATGCAATGTCAAAAAGGTGTGGGAGGAAGGGTTTTCTAAAGCTGTTCGTCCATCCAATAAGCAGTTCTAACCGAGTATACTGGCCCCTTTAACAGGGAGAAGGGGAGGAGGAATGACGGTACATTTTATTATATGTGTTACACATCACTCGTGTTTACCCATGTAGTGTTACTGGACAGCAGCATGGGTGGATTCCCAAACGGGCCTACCGGGCCCAATAGCTCAGGGGCCCCCAAAAGGATTTGTTGTCATTTCTTACAATAACAGGGCCCTAAAAGTCCTTCTGAAAAACTGAAGAAATAGCCTAAACATTCAATTTGAAGATGTAACAAGAAAGAAACCATCATGATACATTTGAAGTGTTCTTTTTTTTTTTTTGGCAAATTACATTCTTTTGTAATCCGCCTATGGAGAGGAGGCATCCCATGTGTGCTTGTACCACCTTGTAATGTAAACAGTGCAAGATGTTAAGATGTTAAACCTTTTTTCGAGGGTTAGAAGGACAAAATATTACTTTGTAAACAAAGTGACATTTTCAGTATGGTGTGTTATCATCATTTAAAAAATATTTTTTTTGTGACTATGATACAACATCTATCCTTCAGCCAGGGAGTTCTGTGTCCCTTCATAACTACTGGCGACTAATTGTAACTAACAATGTTGTTAATTTGCCGGTTTGATTAGGAATCTTTGCATTCAAGTGTTCCCGGGCAGAAGAGATCTTCAATCTGCTTCAGGAGCTGATGCAATGTAACAGCATCAACGTGGTGGAAGAGTCTATGATGATGAGTCGCAGTGGTCACACACCAGAGATGGAAATGTCTCGCACACCACAGACTCCCAACAGTGAGTCACACCACACACACACACACACAAGTACAGCTAATTATACAGTTTAGATTAATTGTAGAACTTGCATGCAGCAATAGAGCAGTAAATTTAGAAGATTTTTACACTTTGTACCTGTGACACTGAGTCACCCTTCATATGGCTAGTCAGGGCTGGGTGAAAAGTTGCTATTATGCCGCTTATATCCAGCTGAAAGATTGTGCCTCAAAGCACACCTGTTTAAATGAATATTAAGTTGAATCGTACCTGGTACGGTATCAAATTCAGATTGTTTTTGGATGATTTATATTAATATTGGTCTCAAAAACCATTGCCAAGAAGCTACACTGATGTGATCCGTCGTGTTCAGAGCATCTAAATAGAGTCTTAAGACAACAAAGGTGACATCTAAAATCTTCTCACAGATATGGGAGTTTAGCCGTAAACAAAGTAAAGCGGGTGGACAGTTGGGTTAGAATTATAGGACTGATGTCATTTGGAATTACATCGGTTATGTCAGAATTAGTGATTTTATTTCTTCAGAGAACATGATCATTATTGTTAACGATGTAAAGTATTTACAGTTAAAAGATTAGCTAACATGGAAACTGAGGCTGTATGGAATAAGTTAATGAATGTATGATACCAGTCATTTGGCATGTATGACCAACCTGATGAAGGCAGGATGGCTGGGAATATCTGGGGATTAAACACCCTTTATTGTTTCATTTGAGAGGACCTGTTTTTATTTTCACTTTTCCATAGCCACAATAAATCTTTTTAACTATGCCGGGGTTTGGCTACATTTATAAAGCAAAAATATTTGAATAATGCTTCATGAAATTACAATCAATTGAGTAATTCAAACATGAGAACATAAGAACTGGAGTGTAGATGACAAAATATGTTGATTTAAAGACAGTATTTACTTCAACTTCTCCATGCCCTTTTTAAAGCTTGATACTATTCATTACATCATTTTCTCTGGGTTCTCTGAGCATGTTTGTCGGGCCATCTTGCATTTCATTTATCTGTGTCTTCATATTGTCATATAAATGTGTTTGCAGCTCCAGCGTTCCCTGTCCAGGCTTTTCCCAATGGATACCCTGGTTATCCAGTCAGAGGAGATTCCTCCCAACCCTCTGTTGCTGATGATCATGGACATGGCCTCATGGGTTTGGAAGACCAGGTAAGACTGATTCATACCACTTACAGTTCACTGTATCTGTGCTAGTTCACAATGTGACTCTATTTTTTTTGTCCCCAACAGACCCACACCTATGTAAATACTGTTAGTATGGAGGGGGATCTCTCTATGCGTCACTGTGTGCACTCCTTGCCCGAGGTGCGGCCCGGCTCTTTCCCTGAACCAGCACGAGGAGCCATGCCTGTCGTGGGTCAAGGAAATCCCCCGTCCAACCTGCGGTGCTGTCCCCTGGAGGAGCACAACGATCCTCAGGTGTTCTTGCAGCCGTCCTCGCAGGAGGTCAAATTCATGCTTGGCCCCACTCCGGCACAACGCCATCTGCTGGAGAGAGAGAGGGAGAGAGAGCGGGAGAGGCACGGGCACAATCCTCACAACCTTCAGCCAGTAGAGGGTGCAACAGGCTCAGAGACGGAGGGAGACGAGCCCTCTATGCACCTCTGCAACTCTCACTCCTACCACCATTTCCATCACCACGCGCATCGGCACCCGGGTCTTGAGCACTCGGACAGCTGCCAGAGCGGCGAACTCACCTACGAGAACATCAACGGGCTGAGGAGCGGCCGTAAGCAGCGGCTGAGTCCCAGCAGCGTGTCGCAGTCTCTGGGTTCGAGCAGCAGCAGCAGCACTGGGGACAGTCACACCCACTCCCTCCTGCACCCACACGCCCTCGGCCCGTCTTCTCTTCCCCCGCAGGGCTACGCCTGCGAGAGGGGCATGGGTGGAGGTCATCGTCGGACAGCTCTGCTTAACTACGAGAACCTGCCCTCTCTGCCGCCGGTGTGGGAGTACAGCGCTCTGCAGCGGGACGACGAGCAGGAAGAGGAAGATGATGAGCAGGATGAGGAGGAATACGAGGATGAGGAGGAAGACTTTGATGAGTATGAGTTCTCAGAGGGCCCTGGGACACCCAACGGGTATCACCAGGATGGTCGGGGCATCCACAGAGATGCCCTGCAGAACTATGTCAACACAGAGCAGGTCCAGCCGCCCCGGCTCCGACACGCCTGCCCCCCGCATCCACGGCCCTGTCAGCCAGACAGAGGGGGGCGAATATTTAGCTTTGATTTCCGCGGACGATCGAGGTCAGGGGTCGGAGGCTGTGAGCACGGCCACATGCCTCCATCCCGGCAGCTGAATTACATCCAGGTGGACCTAGAGGGAGAACCTCCCTGCCAAGCCCTCAGCAGCGGGGGTGCCCAGACCCAGCCACAGCACCAGCGCCTACCACCCAAAAAATGTGGCCCACAGGCACCCCGGCGCAGTGAATGCTACGCAGTCATCGACCTAAAGAAGACCGCTGCCATGTCCAACCTGCAGAAAGCTCTGCCCAGGGATGATGGGACTTCCAGAAAGACTCGCCACAACAGCACAGACCTGCCTCTGTAAACGGTGTTCATACTGAAGAGGAACGATGAAGACAGACGAAGGCTTATCCTCATTTTAGCACACCGGACCCTTCACTGTCATCCATCCATTCAACTGTCGGGCTGACTAATACAGTACAGGTACCTAATTAGAAACTTACTGAAACCTATCTGTGCGTATAAAAGGAAATGAGGAATCTCTGAGGAGAATTTGCCATTTTATTCTGTGTTATTTATTAGATATATGTGTTTGCAGTGTTTACTGCAAAGCTGTTTGCTGGATATATGAATATTTATATATATAAAAGCATAAAATCATATAGATATATGTGTGTGTGTATATATATATATATATATATATAAGATTTTATGCTTTGCTATGACTTAGAGCAGAGACCTCTGTTTTCAGTGGAAGCTGTCATTGTCATACTGTATCAGCAGATTTTAATTCATAAATCCATCTCCACTCACACATATTATTGTTCCTATCATTTAGTTATTCGACATCAACGGGGCTTTTTACTCAAATACTACGGGAGTCAAAAACGTGACCCTCACCACAATAGAAGTAGAGTAGTTGTTGACATGACGGAAGGTTAATGGTTCCTCCAAGATACTGGCCAATATTCATACCTCATCACAAGCATTTACAGTCTGATAATGAGGCTCGCAGTAGAGACCATTATTTGTTACTATATGCCTGTAGAGCATTTTGCACACAATCCTATGGAATTGTATTTTATCATATTTTAGGGAATGGTTTCGAAATGAACAGAAGAGATGGTGATTTTAGCAGAAGTAGACTAAACTGAATGATGGTAAAAGTAGCACACATGGATTAAACGAGCTTCGCTCCCTCCTATCCACACGCAGCAAATGGAAAAAGTAGCATATCATCTTCGATCGCACCTCCTGCACATCATCCCAGACCTGCAGGAGGTCCACGCAGTTTACGCTTGTCACGTTGCACTTTTGACCCTGGGCCACTGAAACGCTCTTTGTCTCTACTCCCACTCCGCTGGAGAGCCACAGGTTCGACCGTGTCCTTTTTACCAAAAGCAGGGGACCAAATATTTCATGGACATTCCTAGTTGGCATCGCAGATAGGATTTATTTACATGTTTTGATGGAGACATCAACAACCTCAAATAGTGGCATTAAGCTTATAACCTCACATAAAAAGTGCTGAATCTATAATTTGTCGGCTATCGGGTGTGAATGGTCTGTTTTGGTCTTAAAGGGTAATCAAGTATGTCGCAAAGTCCTGCAGTGACGATTTATGTGAGGCTATTTATCAATCGTAGTCAGATATTTATCTATTTATTTATTTATGAATTATTATATTTCTAATTGTAATCATTTTGTTTTCCATTTGATGACCAGCGTTTTGTAATCCAGTTGGTAATATGGAGACCAAAGTTTCACCTCACATGATCACTGGACTCTGGTGTGTTACTGTTATAACTCTGCTTAATTATATTTTCAAAAGGAAAGAAAAAAAACAAAGACTGTATTTATATTTGAAGTGCCAAAACGTATTTGCAAACTGTATGATGAATAAAATCAAACGTGCCATTAGGACTTGTAGGAAAGCATGAGGTGATAACGGTCAGGACTCAAACTTTTTAGAAAAATCCAACTTTTTAAGAATAGATTAACGACACATTCCACCTCATCCACATTGACAGCCATTTGGGAGCGAGATATAAGAATGGTAATCTTGTAGTCTGATAATCATAGCCAGGGTGGTTCTATGCTGCTACATGTACATACTAACAGTAGCCCGTGTAAGCTACAGGTACTTGTCAAAATGAAAACGTACGTATTTTATCCTATGCGATGTCAGATCTTTTACCATATGTTTAATTGCTAATAGAAGTAGCATTGTTGTGTTCTTCTGAGATCATTTCTGAGCAGTAGAAATATTTAATGTACCATTTCAGAGAATGTTTCATTTGGCCAATACTTCATTTCATTGAGTGTTTTCTTGACTAACTGGCTGTCTGATAGGAGTGGTAACGGAAGCACAGGCCCACTGATGCTTTCATCTTTTTGTTGAGCGCTCACATCAAGGTGATATTTTCAGCTGACGTAGGATAGTCAAGTGTACGCGAGTTACAGATGGCAGTGGCATTCAGCTGTTGATCAATAAGGGACGCAAATACAAACTCTCAAATTCTGATGAGGAGGGTTTTTTTGGCTTCTGTGTGACATGAGGTGCAAATCAAAGATGCTTTCTTTAAATTCATTCAAGCAAAACCAAACAGCTTCAAGTTTGTGATTGTTGCTTCTGATCGGTGCTTTATGGATATTTATTTTACATTTCAAACATTTTACTTAGATGTTTAATTACGAATGAAAACTGTGAAAAGCAGTCAGATTAAAGCTAGATTCAGGGAAAGTTTGGCATCAGATGGTTCCCAAACTCACACATTATTATGTTCAGATGTGATACATTTTAATTTTCTCACATTTGGGGGGGCCATCTCATTTTGTCCAAAATTCAAAGAGATTAAATTTCCAATGACATACAACTGAAAAAGTCCACGTAATAAAGCAAATGTTTGGCATTTTTGGTTTATAAAATCGAAATGACTATTTTGTTCACAGAGAAAAGGAAGAATATGGTAATAAATGTAAGTTCCACTGGTTAGATGGAAGGAATAATGTGAGAGTTTTAGTTTCTAATTAACATTCCCAACACAGAAGCTTTAAAAAAAAAAAAAAAATCAAAAGTTGATGGTTTGTATTTTTGCTTGATCATCATACTTTAATATGACATTTAAAAAAAAGAAGTATATTCTATAAAAAACAGGCCAACTTTTAGAGGACATGTTTGACTGTATTTGCAAAGATATTGTCATGATACATTGAAAGGATGTTTACATTTTTGCAATAATAGGTGAATTATTTTTTTGTTAATCTAATTCAGACCAATGTGTGAAGTGTGAAATTTAAATAGTAGTCTATAGAGCTGTGGGCTTAGTGTATTTAACCGCCTGTTCTTCTGTGAATCAGCATTCTTATTCTTATTTCAGGTACAATGTTTACTTTTCAATCTTCATAGTACAATTCCAGCTAGTAAAAAAAAAAAAAACTTTAAAAAAAAGATGCCTGTTTTCTTGATTGTCTGACACTGTGTTTGCTTGAACTCACATTAACGGTGCCATACAGTAGGTGGCCGTTGCCGGTACTTAAATTCAATTTCATTGTATTAATCTTTGCAAACCATGTTTCATACAGGAATCAGAAAGTGTTTCATCTAATTTCTCAGAATATTGTCACATGTGGTTTTATGGTCATTTGAAAAAAATATCCATGTTGAAATATGTTAACTATCTTTGTTATAACGCAGTAACCTCACCGCCACCACCCAAACCAGTTAACAGTGAACAGCATAATCAACACATACTCCTCTGTTTACTGATTAATAATCAAAATAAATAGATGTGTTTAGTCGTTGCTTTTCAAAAATACGCTCATGTGATCTCAGTGCACTTGAGTTCAAATGAAGTGCCGGTCCCACCGCATAACTCATTGGCTTGTTATTGGCTCGGGGTTGATGCTATCTCTCAAACGTCTAGTTTTCATCACCTTCAGTGTTTATGCTCAAGGCGTTATTCACACAGGTGTCTGTGAAATTTAGATCGCACCTCTCACAGGTGTGATTCATTCTGCAAGGCAAGGAGCCAAAGGTCGAGGTAACATCTATCTTTAAGTTCCCCAAACTGAATTTATTGAATGGGTTGTTTAACAAAAGGGCTTGCTCTGTGTTTACTGTACAAACATGAACGCCATTTAGTCCATTTAAAACAAAACTCACTGTGCCTTTCATTTTCAAGCTGGCGTATTATTTCCTTTGCTGTTTGAAGAGGGCGACCTGTTGTGGGAAAAAAAGTGTGACAAAGTTGGAAGGGGCTTTAGTCAAAGTGGTTTCATACTTCAAGTTGTAGTTGAAAAAAGGGCCACTCTTGCTTGTTTTACACCATACTGTTTTTTGTTTTTTTTAATTGTCTGTTTAAAGGAAGGTTTTACAATTTTGGGAAACACATTTCTTGCTGAGTAAGAGTAGAAGATCGATGCCACTCTCATGTTTGTGCGCTTAATATAAGGCTACAGCTCACAGATGGTTCCTTTAGCTTAGCATAAACACTGGAATCGGGCAAACGACTAGCCTGACTCCAAATCTGCCCACCAGCCCCTCTAAAGATGTTAGGTCTCCTTTGTTTATTCTATTTCATCTATAACAAAATGTAAAAACAATAAGTTGTGATTTTAGGGGAAGGGGTCAACAGTTAGCAGACAGCAGAAACTCCAGAAAGTCACGAATGAAATAATTTGGCACGAAATACATTCTCATTTAATCGATACTAGATGAGAGTGGTATCCAACGTCTCATCGAACTCTTTGCCAAGAACGTGAATATCTGCAAACATTTCCTTCAGCGTCATTGAAGTTGAATGAGTCGTTATTTTTGAGATTACATGAGTCATGATTGACGTCATGTGGCTACGGTGCACTCCACGATTCCTCATCAGCTGCCATTTCTTCTCATAGTGCTGAAGAATGTGAAAATAAAAGTCCCCTGAGACATTTCTTTTTCTATACTTTTCCAATTTGTAACCACTGAAAATGTGTAACGTACCTCAGATGAAACGAATATAATAAGAGCAGAAAGAAAAAAGGCCAGCGACACGGTGTGCACCTCAATGCGACACGTCTTCATCAGTGGTTCGTCATCAGCAACTCTTAAGTGATTCTGTGTCATCTTTAAAATGACAGAACATCACAAATGACATATTGTAAAACCTCAACTTCCTGTCCACGCTATGAGATAGATCTCTGTCAAAATACTGAAAGTATCAGAAAACTGTAATATCTCTGTAATATTATTATTATTATGTTTGTTTTTTAATCTTGTTTTTGTCTGGTACAAGGGTGTGATCGCCACCAGAGGGTGATGTACATGTACGGGTCTGAGCTGTGCATTTGTGTGAATTTGCATACAGGTTGCATTGGCTGAACTTTTGTCACTATTATATCAATTTACAAATCGACTGAGTGCCAAATATGCTTGAGCATGACAAACTCCGGTACCTATGAGGAACAGCAGGTACTTTCTGACTCATCGAAAGAGACTCCAGTGACTCGCTGCTGTTGTAGACTCTACTTGTGATACGAATGCACAGCTGAAGGTTTTACCATGCTAAATATTTTTGTTGAAAGAGGGGTACATTTCATATCTTTGTTGTATGTTTCTATCCATGGCTTATAAATGAGTATGCAGTGATGGTCTTATCATCTTGTTATTACAAGTGAATACAAAAAGCTGATTTGCTTCTATTGTTGGACTGTCAAAAAGAAGTATTTGGGTCATTTTCATTCTTGAATAATTCCAGACAACAGATGTACTGTATGTTATCTGACCTCCTCTTCATCCCACCCTGTCCCAAAACAAAGTGAGCCTGACATTTGGTGGATTTTACCCTAAATTATAGTGTGGATTTGTCCAAGATGTAAATGTAATTCTAATATTAAAATGAAGCTATGAAAATATCCTATTGCCCACTAAACAGTCAATTTTGTCTTTCTTTACATCAAATTTTTAATGTCTCAAAGAATCAATAAATGTATTTGAGTAAAAAAAGCGTTTTCCCTCCAGGATCACGTACCTCTTCAGTTCATTACATGTACAAATTTTAACATTACAACATTTACTAGATATTTTTTAAGGTATTCCTAGAATATTTTTATAAAATATACCTGAACAGTCTGCGCAACAATCAGAACCGTACAAAACTTTAAAAAAAAAAATCTTTTTTTAAGAGGGAAAGAAACGAGTCTGGTCGACACAACTTGTGTGAACACCGAACCTTTTTGAGCTGATCAAACCTGATGACTTTTGGAGGTGAAAGGTTTTGTTTGCTCTATTTATTGTTTTCTGGAGAAACATTGAAGACGGACGTATAACGGTTTGACCGTGTGTACAATACTCAAACCATTGTGTGGATATAATCCTTCATCCTCCAGCCCGACAGCTGCGTAATAGATGTCTGTAACCTGAGGGGAGAAATTATGTGAACTGTGTGAACTCCATTCAGTAAAAGTAGATTTCCTTTTCGTTAAGAATATTACAGCTATCCAACTCAGCAACCCGCCCAGGATAGAATACGAATATTATCCAAGTTTTTCCTTTCTCCCACTCAAACCAGAAATTAAATCATGACTTTATTCCACAATTGTTTTTGCAGTTGAACATTAACCTATTTTCAGCATGTAATTAGTGTCTGCCAATGTGTAAATAATTTTAATAATTTGATGTACAGAGAGCATGGTCCTTGTTGGCTCTAGCGATTCACAGCGAACTGTAAATATATGCCTTAAATAGTAGCTGTCTTGTGTTTGTATGTCTGTCTTGTTTTATGGTTATTGAATTATTGTATCAAAAGAGGAGCCTCACAAATAAAGCAGAGCTTTTATTGTTTCTACTCTACTTGGTGTCACTAATGTTAAGTCTCAGCTAAAGCGCTCAATAATTGATTTTGTTATAACACCGGTAGATAGACGATGCCTGCGCATGGCGTCGTTAACCTCCATGAGAACACTACAGGTTGTCATTTGAGTGTTGGCTTTCTTTCGACGACTGAATGTAGGGTACATGAAACATGATCAGCTGGAATTTCCAGTTTCCCCCGGAGAGTTTTCACTACAAACAGTTCAGCCTCTCCACTGTGTAACAAACAGTGGCAGGTTCTTATGTTTGCACGTGTGTGACAGGAAATTGGGGCAGGGCTGCCCAAATAAAGGAAAAGAGATTTAAGATACAAAACATACGTTCTGTTAGCTTCTGAACTGTAGATAAGCCAGCTGAAATGTAAATTGCTGTAATTAGTCAAATGCAACTTAACTGATTGCCCTTATCCACAAATTATGTCAATAAGATAATCCTTTATTAGTCCCGCAGCGGGGACATTTACAGGATTACAGCAGCATAGTGATAGCATAGTCTTCAGCCTCCTCTGTTCAGAGCACTGAAGCTGCCCTGCTTCAACAGAGGCTGCAGGTCATTCAGTGATACATTTTTCCAGTGTGTGTGCATCAAAACACATCCCCATCCACGGCAAAATGCACTGTGCAATCGGTTAGACAGGCTGCGTGTGTCTGCTCGTCCATGGCAAGTATATCAGAGCAGAATCATTTTGAAAGTGTGTGTTTGAAGGGCGAAAGAGGGGGGGACATGTTGGCATTTCCCCACTGGAAATTACGCCTCAGCTTTGAAGAGACCTCAAACTTGTGTGGTCTAAACATTGTGGATTTAACCACAACAAGTAGTCAAAATGCTCCCAGTTCAGTGGAAGTGGTTGATGTTTTGCTGCCATATGACAACCCTTATTTAGCAGAGAAACAATATTTGTGCTGCGCCTGCCACTGAAGAGAGAGCTTTAACTAGGCATAACATGAGCTGGGTTTTTCAGTCCAACCCTCTCAGTCAACATAGAAGCTGTTTGTTTCATCTATCCACACATATTCATCATCAGATTGAGTGAGTTACATTATAGTTTTACTCTGTAAACAATGTATTTTAAATATAGTTTAAATGCATCACTATGTTGTCTCACTACAACCAACCACCGAAAAAGTGTATAAATATTTCAAAAGCACATTACAGACTCAATATCAGATGTTATTTATAACGTTGAGATAAGATACACTTTATTGATGTAGTACGGTAAAGCTGACGACTATAATAATTTAAGAAGGAAGTCAGTAAAATATAGTACAATAGAAAAAAAGTACAGTTAAGTCAGAGATCAAGAAGATAACAATACAAAGCAGCATCAATTTTATGAATGGAAAACAACTACAGATATAAAGCCGTGCTTGCATTAAATAAGTCGTTGGTATTTGACCGATTTATGCCCCTAAACAAATTCCCAAATTGGCAGATAACTGCAGCCCGTATGAGCACTGACATAACAGAAATGGCTCAGCTGATTTGGTTTAGTTGTAAGCAACTGTGCTAATCACAATGACTCACGCTGCTCTGTCTCAGTGGAAAAATACAGCAAGGAAGTGGTATACCTTGGACCTTTGTCAAAGCAAAACACTTTTTCAAGTGAAACAGCATGGTGTGCAGACCAGGTCAACAGATAGTCAGAGCATAGAGGAGCCAAAAGAAACCCTAGCTCATTTTTTTCCCTCACTCTGGCTCTGCTCATGACATGTTGTTTGTGTAGAGACCCTGCGGTGCACCCAGCTGAGAGGAATACTGATCAGTTTGCTGAAGCTGTAAGCAACTCTTGGGGGAGGGTGCTTTGTGATGGAGGGGTAAGTACCTTCTTGTTTTACACTTGGCTGCTAAATGCATCGCTTTAATTCTAAAATGTGCTTCAATAAGTGCAGCTTTCTGATAAACAGTTTCCGGTGAAAACTTTCCATTCCTGGTAATCCCACACGGTCAAGTTCAAAAAATAAAAAAACAAAGCTCATGAGCAGTGCCAAACAATCAGCTGAGTAGTTTTGTCTCTGTACATAACCCCGAGTTACAACAGTTACGCAGTACTTTTCCATAAATGAGCAAGAGGCTGAAAGAGATTTCAGTTCAGATTCCATCATTGCATTTGCTTATCTGCTGCTTTCCCTGCACATGTCAAGACAATTCCTCAAAGGAAACAGCCTTGAGATGGCCGGCCAGGATAAAAGTCTGGTGAAGAAGACACAACTGTTGGATCGAGGCCAGTGGGGGAACAAGTTGGAATTTCTGTTGGCTGTAGCAGGAACCCTGGTTGGGCTGGGAAACCTCTGGAGGTTCCCCTATTTGTGCTACAAAAATGGGGGAGGTAAGCATGATTCCCATGCAACAAAAAAAAAACATACAATGCTTTTACTATTCTGCAGCTGCACTTAATAAAAATGTAATGAGTCAACAATGACGAAAAAGAACTGTGGCGACAATAGATTTAAGCGATAAGGAAGTTGCTCAGGCGTTGATCAAGGCTGCTGTTTGTTATTAAAGGAACCGTTTGTCTTGGTTTAATCAAATGCAGCTCAGGGGACAAAGGAGACCTTTGTTGTTTTGACAAATGAGTAAATCATCCATTTACATAAAAGCATTACAAGTTATATTCATCAGAAAGTCATTCTATGTCTTGCTTTACTCTGCAGGCATTTCATCACTGTTTGATCTGTTTTAAGGATACAGATAGAGGTGTTTGATGTTTTACCAGTTCTTTAGAATTGACGGGATACATTCTATAAGAAGAACCCATGTGGGTTTTTACCGTATCCAGATGTTTAAAAGAAAAAAAAAAGACATGAACAGCAATCTTCTTGTATAATCTCTCTATAACAGAAATTCCCATGTGTGATGTTGGTCTTTATCAGATTTACAGGGGAAACAGTGTTTTGATATGCTTGTCATGTTTCTCTCAGGTGCATTCCTGATTCCTTACGTCTTGTTTCTGCTCTGTTGTGGCATACCGATGTTCCTCCTGGAGACGGCCATGGGACAGTTCACATCTCAAGGATGTATTACCTGCTGGAGGCACTTCTGCCCCTTGTTTGAAGGTCAGTGTATTAAAATGAATGCATCATGTGACTAGTTTGGATAATCATCATCATTGACACATTTCACAATTTATGTGTATAATATCAAAACAAAACATTTCTAAAAGGAAATGTGTCACCCTTAAAGGGTTAAACTTTTACTTCCCTTTTATCTATACAAATGCTGGATGCACAGGTACATGGCATCTCATGTCATTTACACACACACACACATACATATATATATATATATATGTGTGCACACACGGGTGTGTCTGTTGCTGATCCCCACTTGGCAAAATGTCCGACCTAATGTGACCGAGAGATTAGTACAGACTCTGAGACACACCCAAAAATCTTGAATGTCAAGATATAACGGACATACTAAGGAAGTGTTAAAATCTTGATTCCCACGAAGCGACCCAAGTGACAAAAAAACATATATTCAGTACTTTCAGCTACATTTAAACTTGGGTGTTTGCTTGCTAACTCATTTTCACACACTCGTACATAACTGCAACATGTAGAGTTCAAGTGATTTAGCTGATATATTCTTTCAATCAAATCCCAATTTCTATTTATTTATCTTTCTTAGTTGAGTTACACTACTACTCTCTTAGTACTCCCTGGGGTACAAGTACTCCTGGCTGGGAATCACTGCTCTGGTGAGTTTACAGCAGCAGGATGTGGGATTGACTGAAAATAAACTACAGTGCACATAAAGTGCAAAATAAAGGAACATGTCGCCCAGAGCAACAGTGTGTCGGATTGATGTGTTTTAGCTTTTGGACAACAATGGAGGCCTATGACACAGAGGATTAAGATCATGCAACACTCGTTAGTAGAATCAGTTCATTGTTGGTTTTGGTCTTTTCATGGAATTTGTCGACAACAACAAAAATATAGACTAAAAACAAACTGGACACAGATTGGCAGCATTTGCCTCCGTGACACACCTCTCACTTGGTTTCTCTTTCTGGAAGTCTCCTTGCCATGCATGATAAAGAATCAGTCACTTAACTCTGGTTGTGGCAGGTGTGCCAGCTGGCAGAGTGGAAAGAAACTCTGCACCTACAACAACACAACTTTCTTTAGGTATGACGATGCTATACGCCAGGGATCATTTCATCATCAGGACCATCAGCATGGGATGCCATTTTAAAGTTTTGTTGTTGATCAGTGTGCCATATCAATGTTAAGTTAAAGCATGACACCGCATCAAAAAACGGATCTGTACTCTTATCCCATCACTAAAGGTAAAGTGCATAGAAAACAAACAAAAAAATCTCCCATAATCAAGACTTTGTAGTTAAATATGAGATCACTTTACAAGAAGGCTGCCATCCTTATGAAAACATCCACATTAACCGACCAACCATGTTCATCAGTAAAGCAGAGGCGTAGTAGGGTAGGTTTTCATGGGATGCGGTTGTGGGAAAAGAACATTCAAACTGCCATACATAACAGGCCATGACTTGTTGAATTGTGAGTGTGTCATTTGTTAAGCTACTGTATTCATCCTATAGAAATAACCCATGTGGGTTTTTACGGTATCCAAACGTACCTACGGTTGCCTACCCCTGCTCTAGACCTATATGCTTTATTATTTTGCCCGTCATTATTAATAATCTACATTGTCCACGCCTTGTCTGTGTTTTCAGGGATTGGCTACGCTACCCAGCTTGTGATTGCATATGCTGCCGTGTCATACATTGTCATCCAGGCATGGGCCTTCTTTTACCTCTTCTCATCCTTCAGCGCTGAGATCCCATGGGCCAGCTGCGGAAACACCTGGAACACAGGTAGACATGCAGACAGGGGCAGAAATGAACTATGTGCATGACAGATGTCTGTGTCTACGTGTTCTTCATCATTTTTTAAAAATCTCATATCTTTATAACAGCAGCAATAGAGAAACTGGCACACAAGCTTGGAAAATGGCTAGAGAAATACCAGAATCTCTAGAAAATTGCTTGAATTCTTGATTGCTTGATTGATTGATGAAGCTATTGGTTTCATAGAAGCCCTGTAGCTAACAAAAGGTACAGTTAGTTAACTAAAACTGCCACAGTGGAGGATCCTGCACAGCTAAAATTACTATTAAATGGTTGAGGATAATTTTGTATTTGGTGAGTACAACTGTATCTGTCTTTATGTTTTCAAATATTCATCTACGCTTTGATCGATGAAAAGATCTCCTCCTGTTTCTTTCCCAGAGTTTTGTATTGAATTTGATAAAACAAATGCGTCATCCAATTGGACAGCAAACGCAACAACGCCTGCAACAGAATTCTGGGAGTAAGTTTGATTCACACCTGTCTATCTTTATAGCCTATGTCACATGTTTTTAGAAGCTGAATCACTAAAGGTGCATTGGCACCCTGTTGTTTTGCGCGTTTGTCTTTGTCTTTCCTCTTTCAGAGTCTATAGCAGCCTGTTGAACCAATTAGTCAAATTACTACCAAGTGCCAAATTAGTCAATTCACTAAGGACTCACATAACTAATGACACTGACGACTCACGTGACAAAATGTCAACTTTAGTCTCCTGGATGCATCCACTCCCACCTGCCCTGTGTGGATTATATATATATATATCTCTTCATACTATGGCAGTTGCTCTGACTAGTCTAATAATGACGTGGGTGGGTTTACATTAGAGTCAGTTGAAAGCGTGCTGCGTCGGGATCAGACGTTGAGGGGAACTGACCAAGCGTCGGTATGCGAACAGTTGGGAGTGAGACCGGGTCGACAAAGATTGAAATAAGTACAAATAAAAAGACAATTTAAAAAGAAAAAATGAAATATGAAGTATATGCAACTAAAATAAGGGTTGAAAGTATGCATAACTATACAAGAATGAACACGAGAAATAAACAGGAGACACCCCAGTATTAGAAAAACCTAATTTTGAGAAAACGGCCTTAAAGGTGCAATATACGGGATTCAGAGTATTCACAACTATGCATACATTTAGCTCAAAGTACAGCTAAATGCAAATGTAAGCGTCACAGAGCTGTTAGCAAGGCTGTGGTCTTGTTTCATAATTCCAAATTTCCAAACTTTACAACATTCTCTGTGATCGCAACAGAATTCTACAAAGAATCGTTGCCAATACTTACAAATATTATTTGTCAGCAAATACATAAAAACAGGGTGTGAATATGTTATTCCATTTATTTTGCTATGTCATGGTCAACCTTTCTCAGTAGATAACATGTAGAACATTCAGTACATGAATGTAGTTAAGGCAATACAAACACTTTCAGTAATACACCACATGAACAACTGTGTCCCTGCTGGAGGTTTTCCTATCCCCGAACCATTTATGATTTATGAGGTTGACTTAAGTTAGGTGATACTGTTTGAGAAACAGACTCTGTTTGATACTCTAAACTTGCTGGCGAGCTACACATGGACAAAAAAAGTACTAATCCTTCTTTCCTCCATGTCACATGCTGAGCTGAAAATGAAAGAATGTAAAAGTGAATTAACACAGGGGCCAGATACAAAATAAAACAAATGATTTATTTATTTGATTGCACTGAGCTGATGGGTGTGCAGAGCCTCTCTAATGTTAAGTAGCATAATTAGTGGTTAGTTTTTAAGCAGCATTACTGTTTTAGTGTTGCCAAAAATATCTTGATTACTCATTTCCACCTGAAACTGAAAATTTACTTCTGCAAGGCAAAACATATTTGCTCATTTTCAACATGAATGTAGCAATAACACCATGTGATCAGTCCCATTGATTCTTCACTATCATAATAACCTTATTTGTTTTATGAGTGAATTATAGTCGTGAACAATGTTCCAAGGGTTGTTGTCTCCACACTGACTCTTTTTTGACAATGTTATGTGTTTCTTTTCAGGAGACGAGTGTTGGGTATATCTAAAGGGATTGATGAGATTGGTAGCCTGAGGTGGGAGTTGGCCTTGTGTCTCTTACTGGCATGGATCCTTTGCTACTTCTGTGTTTGGAAAGGAGTGAGATCCACTGGAAAGGTACTAAGTAAAGGAAACGCCCCAATAAATGAAACAATAGTAATGCAGATGCCTCCATAGAGGGCTGACTGTACAGTGCAAAGTCTATTTATGCTTCACACTGTGAACTGTTTCACATTTCTTAGACAATTTTTGCACATTTCTGCACAAAACGATCACTCTTAAAAATTGCTCTGATCTTTTCTTTAAAGGTAATTTTATTTAAGATATATTTTACATATTTTCATAGTATGTTTATTGTAATTTGTCTTTTATATTTGTTTCTTGGTTTTGTACTTACTTTTATTTTTGATTATTTTTTCTCTTACTATGTTTATGTTATGCACCAGCACACAAAAAGCAAATTGCTGAAAACCTACTATAAACACTAAACTGGATTCTGCATCTGATTACATATGTGAGAGAGTGATTGTGTACGATGCTGGCAACTCAGCACAGATTAGGAAATAGTGTTGATAAGAGAAACTGCCCACTGCTGCGAGTCACGAGATCATGACAGCAATTTATCCGTCTCCACCTTCTTCCCATTTTTCTTGCTCTCTTCATCCGTCAACCTCTCCATCTATTGTGACATTTTAATGACGTCACAAACAGCCACTCCTAAACTTGTTCTGGTTAGGTACGGCCTTTTACTGACGTTTCTTTCTCTCAGTTGATCTCTCTTGAAATTAGCCATGGGCCATTAGCTTGCCGTCTATATGCAACATCTGCTTTGTGTCCACTATAGCCGTTTACATTGCAATAGACTTCCAAATTTGAGGAAAGTAAACTAAAGGTATTAACAAAATGAAGACTTTCATTCGTTTATCACACCATACTTTAGCCCCTTTTTTTATTAATATTAGCCAAAGTGGAGTCTTTACGACTTCAATCACCCATTGTGAGCCAGTGCTACAAAAGTTAGTCATTTCACATTATGGTCTCTCTTCCCTTAACAATGCAGCAAAGTACAAAAGTACAATTAGTCGGTATTTAGCGTAGTGTTTGACTCAAGCGGCAACTTGCATGTGCTACCATGTAACATTACTTAGGGGTGTGTTCACAGCGTTTCCACAATGTAACCAGGATGCGCCTATTCCAAGATAATCTCGTGCATAAACCATTTGAACATCAATATGATCCTGTACATAACTTAGGCTAGCCCTTTCATTGTTATCTGTTTTAGGAAGCTCTCATGGATAATGTGTAGTTCGTTCTCAGGTAAAGGTAAAAAGGTTTATACGTTTTCAGGACATTTTACTCTCATTTTTCATGTGTTTTCAATAACGGTGGGAATAAGTTATGAGACGGAACAAGGGGAAATAACATTTCACAAATGTCCCCTAAATATTTCCTTTGTTTTTCTGTGATGGGACTTGTGCTTGTTCTGTTGCTGTTCTGTTGCTGCTTCTTGTCAGATTCCAATAATCAATTGTGATTTAAAACAACATTTGAAAACTGCCTTTGTCTCATTTTGACAGGTGGTTTACTTTACAGCAACTTTCCCTTATGTGATGCTGGTGGTTTTGTTGGTTCGTGGAGTCACTTTACCAGGAGCTATGGATGGCATAGCATTCTATCTGTATCCTGACCTGACAAGGTTGGTGGACCCTCAAGTAAGTAATAAAATTAAGACGAGCTGTCCAATTAATCGCCTCCCACTGAAAGCCCAAATACTGTAAAATACTTAAATTGCACGATATATGCTCTCTTACAGTAGTGGTGAACGTTTACTAATATGTATGTTTTGACATCTGCTTAGGTTTGGATGGATGCAGGAGCACAAGTTCTTTTCTCGTTTGGGATTTGTCAGGGGAGTTTGACAGCTCTGGGCAGTTACAATCAATTTAATAATGATTGCTTCAAGTAAGTGCTCTCTGCTTTTCTTCTGCTTTTTTATCTAAATGCATGATTAAAATATATTTAACCTGAGTTTTTCTTGCTTTCTCTAACATAGTATTATGACTGATGCCTTAACTATTACTGTCATTAAATGATATGCTGATTTGCTCTAAAAAAAGGGTCAGAAATCATGAAATTTGAATTGCTTGATTTGTCCATTTAACAGTCAAAACCAAAAAAAACAACTAATTTTACTTTTGTATACAACAAAGAGAAGCAGCAAATCCTCAAGTTTTAGAAGCTGCAATCGGAGAATGTTTCGCACAGAGTATGTGGCATATTTTATTGTGCTATGTTGTTCTATCTTAATGTATCATTTCCAACCTTTGGTCTCATTTGCTACCTAAAGTTGTGATACAATGTTTTTTTTGAAAACTTGAAAAAGATGCAAAGAGTCAAGTGCTCGATAAACGATAGGAGGAAGGAGATCTCCAATGGAATTCTTCACTATGTGTGGAAACGATTATAGCATCTTATTTTGCTGGCATACATTTAGTTTGTAGAAGTATAAGGTGATCTCTCAGTGTAAACTGATGCACTCTATGTCTTGCTTTCAGCATGTTTTGCTCTCTACCACGGTGTCTTTTTCTAATGCGGCCACTGGGGGGGCACCAAAGTTAGAAATGTTGAGAGGGAAAGAGGTACAGTAAAGTAAAAGCCTTTTTTCAGTCGGGCATGATAATCAAGCTGCATGCTCTTCATCGAGGCAGAGTTAATGAAAGGCAGACAATAACGCCTGGTTTCATATAAAGACGATCATCCACCGCATCACCGTTAAAAACTCATCATCCCCGTATGTATAGATAAACGTGAATATATCATTATAATAATTGTCGTCTTAAGCAGCCACTGTGTTCACTTTCAACATTATCTCCATCATGCTCTATTGTTTTTTTACACAATTCCACAAATTTTTTAAACAGAGAACAATATTACCAAAGAGTCATTCCTTAGCTAAACACTTCTTTGTTTTGTTGTTTCCCCAGGGACACGTTTATTCTGTGTTTGGTGAATGGAGGGTCAAGCTTTGTGGCAGGATTTGCCATCTTTTCAGTTTTGGGCTTTATGTCCTACGAACAAGGACTGCCAATATCTGAAGTGGCTGCTTCCGGTAAGACCACCACTACACCCCTTCTGTTCCAGTACATTTAATGATCTGTTTGGGTAAAGAGCTCCCACTAGAAATAATGATGTACACAGGGTTGAGAGTTTAGCTGTTGCTTGAATATGGAGCCTGTAACTGGCTGAAAAATGTGTGTTGGTGTGGTTTTAATAGAAGTTCTCAAACTTGTATAATGTAAGGCCCACTACTGATTGTCAACAGATTTACTAGGTCCTCCTTTAAAAATAAATGAGGGAAAAAAACACAACATGACAAAACAGGTAGGAAAAATAAACTGGGCTGTACATATGTGTTATGCCACTGTCGGCTTTAATAACCAAAATGTGAGACAGGAGAATGGTATTGGATTTTGTTTGTAGATGCCTCCAGTCACTCACTGTGTCGCTGCATCCAAGGGAACGTTTGCTAGCTAACAGTGGCAAAACTCGTTTGTCTCTTCATGACGATGTGAGTGATTGGTGTGGTGATATTCAAACGCAACTGATCATTGAAATTAAAATGTGAGTTTTTGACCACATTTAGATACAAAAATAATGAGCTTTGTAAACGACTAAATTAAAATGTAGCTATTTCAAAGGCCAAAATAGATTGTTTGTGGTAGTCTTTGTTACATTATTACACAAGAAGATGATCTCCCTTCAAAGTATATCGTCAAATCAAAAGTTTAATCTGCATGTTCTCAATTACAGGACCTGGCTTGGCATTTATTGCCTATCCACGTGCAGTAGCCATGATGCCTTTTCCTCAGTTATGGTCTATATGTTTCTTCGTCATGGTCATCTTGTTGGGTGCAGATACGCAGGTGAGATTAAAAAAACACTTGCATTAAGCAGATATAAAAGTAGTTTTACTATTTAACCTGTGTTGATTGCAGACAACAGCTTTTTGTCTCCAAGTGTTTCAGTTTACTCATCGCTCTGTGTCTCTGGCAGTTTGTGAGTCTGGAGTGCCTGATGACCACCGTGACAGACATGTTCCCCACCGTGTTTCGAAGAGCTTACCGTCGAGAATTGCTGCTGCTCTGTCTCTGCTCTGTTTGCTTCTTCCTCGGCCTCCTTCTCGTCACAGAGGTGAGAACTCGTGTTTGTGGTGTGCTCACACCATGAATAAAAGCAAGACTGTGCACCGTCCAAAAACAGGCCAATGCAATCTCTCCTGGACCTGCAGCGTGCTGAACCGCTTTAGTCATCTAATTTAAGCAAAGCAAAAATGTTAAGCATCTGAACATTAAGCACAATTGTTGTGCTGTTTTTGTGTTTGATATGCAGTAAAAATCGACCCTCTATCTTCCTGCAGGGAGGCTTATATTTCCTTCAGCTTTTTGACCATTACGTTTGTAGTGGCAACAATCTTCTCCTTCTCTCAGTGTGTCAGTCGATAGCAATCGGATGGATATACGGTGAGTCTTTAAGGTGATCCCGCATTAATCGTATAATGTTCTTGTTACAGCTTTTGTTTTTGTGCCTATTGAAATGATCTTCGACCAAATTATTAGAAGTTGTAAAAGATTCTGATCAAAAAGCTTCTCATACCGAGGTAGTTATTCCTTGAGGCAGATTATTTAAAAGCCTTCATTCAGTGGTTGGTCCTGCTTTTGGACTACAGTGAAGTCAAACTAAAAATTAAAAAGCACAAAAATAGTGAAGTGATTCTGTTGATTAAGTTACTCTTTTTTTTGTTTACATTAGGGATGTCTGTAAACAGCAGCAGAAAAACAGGCCCAATACATCAGTATCTGTGTTTTTGTCAGCATAAAAGTAATTAGAAATGGCATTAAAAAAGTTTAGTTTGAGGTCATTTAGAAACAGTGGCTCTATTGCAGATTTTGTCAAAAAACTAATTTGAGGGATTCTTATTTAAAAGATTATGGTCTCGTGTTGGTCCAAAATATCGATAGCAGACTCAAAAATCTTAATTTATATGCTGAAAATATGATGGGTTGGGGCTTAAAAGTACATTAAACACATTGAATCAGGTTTAAGTTCAGGCTGGTTGAACAAAAGGTTAAACAACACTTAAATTACAGTGAAAACAACATTTGACTGTTGAAGTTCCCAGAGTTTTAAACCTACAAGTTGTTTGTTCATTACTGACTGAGGTGAGTGTTCACGCTCCAGTCCTTGCATAACTTACATTCCGTTGCCGCTATTGTGGCTTTACAATGAGGATTGCACTTCTACTTAATGCCCACCCCTGTGGTCAGTAGATTTACTAGATATTTTGTGCGCAGCTAAATTCTTCTGGTCTCCTTCAGCTTTCGCTCCTGTTCAAGCTTGTTTAAGCCTGATAGACATCTGATCCTCTTGAGGTGGAGCGTTTGATCTCTTTGACTGTGAAAGATTACAAAAGATCCAGGAGAGCTTGATGCATTCACTCTGTAAGACAAGTCTTTCGCACTGCCTCCTTGTCAACTGGGATTTAAATGCTAAAGATTTTATATACAAATAAAACAATTAATAATAATAGATAAAATAAATACATTTTGTAACACCAGCACCCACAATAGTTGCTCTTAAATACCACCATTAACCATTTACATACATGTGTGATTTGGAGCCACTGTCAGTTGTCAATACATTACATCATGCATTTGTTTGTGTTGTAACTTGTGTTTTGGGTGACTGTGCAGAATGTTTATTCATAGCTGAAGATTTTAGGTCAAAACAGGCTGTTTGTTTTCCTTTTCATTACCAGGTGCAGATCGTCTCTTTGACGACATTGAAGAAATGGTAGGTTATCGTCCATGGTCCATAATGAAGTACTGCTGGCTTTACATTACCCCCACCGTTTGTCTGGTGAGTGAAATACTTTCTTTAAATCCCTTAAATAGTAAAAAAAAGATGTGTAGTTTGATGTATTTGTGGATAATATAGATGGCAAAGTGATTGTTTTGGCAAACCTCAATGATTCAATGATGATTTGAGTTTACATTGAGATTCAAATCTCATCACTGCCTCTTACTCATGATGGAAAGGTTGATTTTTAAAATGTGGATTGAAGAGAGTTTCCTGAGAATCTTATTTGGACTTCAGGCTTCAGCTGTGATGTTTGTTTGGAAGGACAGGGACACTCTTTTCTTTGTTATTAAGAGTGATGTAACAAGTGTATTTTACAGAAAAACTTTTTTTGCCTACTGTGAGGTAACAAAGAGAGGAAAGAGGGAAGAGAATCATATTACCACCTATGTTTTTATGGTATATAATTCAGTAATACATGGCACATGTTGACATTTAACAGAACAAATACAGTCTCAAGTTCAACTGCCTAACATGGTTACCTAACACTAAACTATAGTACAAGAGCAAACAAAACTGGTCCTTACAATAAGATGAAGGAGAGAGAGAAACAAGGGAGGGACGAATAAAAGATTATTGTTATTATTTCAAACGTTCAAAGTTTGGGCAATTCAAACAAGAAATGACAACAATGTTCTTTTCAACAAAGCCCAAAAAAAACCATACATGGCCTAAAGTATGTGAACCTGAATAAAGTATATGATATAAAAAAAAACACTTACAATGATATGCTGACAATATGATAAAAACAGCCTCCACTCTTCTGGGAGATTTTGGAGCCTGGCTCTGATGTGCAATAAGACTTTTTTCCCAGAGCTGTTTGATAGTGTGGAGGTCAGGGTCCGGTTTCACAAAGCTGTTTTTAGTGTTAGGCCAGTTTTGCTCTTAGTCTAATGCAACAAAGTTTCAGTAAAAAAAAGAAAGAGTTAGGCCAATATTAAGCCTAAAAAGTGAGACAGCCCAAGGCTGACTCTGAACTAAGAGACATGTTCCCATGCAACAGTGACACCTGCCGGCCCGTGGTGACAAAAAAGATTAAAACGTGGCTCATGTCAGTGCTAAAAAAGATTTTGGTATCAGTTTTGGTTTCTGTTTGTAGTTTGTACAGTGTTATAGCAATCACGTTTGAGCAGGTTTTGGTTGAACGCAACAGTCTGTGTGGAGACCAAAAGAGGTTAAAAGCACTCGCTGAACTGCAATCTGGGAACCCAAAGGCTATAATTTAGTTTTTTATTGGTTTTAAATTAGCTTGTAAACTGGCATTGTAAAACAACCAAGTAGTACACGTCGTCCCTCAACTTCGGTCTTGTATCTAATGTTGCTAATCAGAATGTAAACAACAAGCAGCGCACAAGTCTTGGCCCGGATATCAGCTGGCTCCACCAAGTCCCCCAAAATATAGCCCCGTGCCCTTGGAGGTTAATCTTTGCAAAATAGTGCAGATAGCTGAAGAGGAGAATACTGTGTGAGATACACTGATAATAGCAGGCTTATACCCACAGTCGACTTCTGTTGAACAGAAAACTATTTCTTTTGGGACTTTGTTTTTCTTAAAGGGTATTTATGTTGAAACAGGTACGAGCCTTCTCCACAATGTCAGAAACACACTATTGTCTAAATTATCATTACATGCAAATTTAGATTTTACAGCATAGCTCAAACTGTGACAAACCCGCCCAGACCAAAAGTACACTAAAGTATCTGGACAGGGGTGTTCAAATAGTTTTGCTCATATAGTATAAATGAAAAGACGCCACCATAGATCTGTACATTATCATTACATGTGTTGATAATAAACATAACATTCTTCAAGGAGACAATGTTTAATAAACTGGACATCAGGAGGTAAAAGTTGAGATCTGACCTGATTTCACTGAAAATGGATGAAAATAATAGTTGTTTGCTTTTTTTCCTTGACAGGCTACCTTCATCTTTTCATTGGTGAGATACAAGCCTCTCAAGTTCAACAAAACCTACGTCTATCCGACCTGGGCATATGCTTTGGGCTGGTGCCTTGGACTGTTCTGCGTTCTCCTGGTTCCTCTGTGGATCATCTTTAAACTTACGCGGATGAAAGGGACTATAGGGCAGGTATGTACTCAATAAAGAAAGAGTAAATAAATAAAATATTATTATTACAAAAACATGCAATACCAATATTTAAGTGATCTAGGGCTAAAGTAATAAGTCGATCAACAGATAATTGCCAAAAAATGCTCCACTAATGTTTTCTTGGTCTTATGCAATAATAAACTGAATATATTTAGATTTTGACCTGTTGGTAGGACAAAAACATGCTATTGAAATGTGTCAATTTGAGCTCTGGGAAATTCTTAGGTGCGTTTTTTCACTATTTTTAGACATTTAATTTAACTAATGATTAATTGTGAAATATAGCAGCAGATTAATCGATAATGAAAACAGTCTATAGTTGCAGCCCCAATGGGATCATTACAGTATTAGATCAGTTTGTGAATGCTTAGGCTTACATACAACCCGACTTATCTAATAGTTTGATTTTGTTCTCATTTTAGTAATCATTTTCAAGTGTACTTTCCATTTCATTGCTTTAATTCTTGCTTATCGTAATTACTTAGACTTTGTCAGAGAACAAGGGAGAACAGTAGGTGATAAGACTGTGTGGTAATAACCTACAGTATGTACCTTTACGACTGAAACAATGGAGCATCGAAAGATTTTAACAGTACTTTAATACCATGTACCGTAAATAGATGTTATGGTTGATTTGAGGCAGTGAAGAACTTTTATTGTCCTTCATAAATCTGAATCATAGTGAGGTAACAGTTCACTCCTACAGTGCAGAAAATACAAGGCCGGTTACTTAATTACAAAATATTCCAACATTGAGAAGTATTTACTGCAAGAATTGCAGTACAAGTGCTGTTGTACAACACGCAGAGTCCACTTACTGACATACAGGAGCTTTAAAAGTTTTCAAAAGGAACAGCAGTGGTTCAACGAGGCCCTTCAGCCAAACGTGCATGTCAAGGAGATGCAGCTGCACATACCTACAAAAATACTCAACCTGACACTAATGACGGGTAAAAGTGTGACAAATTAGAGGTGAGAGGCAGGGCTTTCTTATGTAGCCTCGGTTTGTATATTGTATAGCTTCTGAGTGCTACATACAGGCTCATATTTTTGTCTCACCATTTTATTTGTCAGGTAAGTCTGTTGACAATAACAATTAGTCATTATCGGTTAAACAGTTATATTTTCTTCTGATTGCTTGTTTTTTTTTTAAACTACAATAGTTGCTGATACATTTTTTGCCATTCTAATCTTTTCAGCTCTACTAAAACCATTTCAAACGAATAGTCGACATACACTTTGACAGCACCACTTAAAGAATTTAAATCCTCACCCTCGTCATCATTTCAATGTCAACACTGCATTGGCACAGCGAGGGCATGGATGCAAAGCAACTTTTGCCGAAAAAACTCATTGCAACATAATCCAGCGACGCACTGCGACCATAAAATACCTGCAAATTCCTGGCAGATTAAACCTCAGCCAGGACAGCTAAACTCTTACCGTTAGATTTGACTGGTTGAAGGACAGGTCAATGGACTGAGATGATCATGTTGTTCAAAGCAAACAACATTTTGTTGAACTGATTTATTTTCCTTGTTTTTTACATTTGTACAGTTTGTTACAAATGTAGCAATACTTTAACAAATAGGAAGCCTTGATACGGTTTGTGTTAATTTCCTCCTTTTCTGTATGTGTCTCTTCTGACCATGTTGGGAAACCTACTGCACTGTAACTCAACAATTCTACTAACATGAACCGACTGATTTTGTTTCTACAGAACCTCAGGCAGCTTTGTCGCCCTGAAATCAAGACGCACGGCAAAGCAAAGCAACCTGAGCAATGCCCTCTGAACCCAGACAACTCTCTTACTCCTGCTGCCAATGAATACAAAGCAAATGGTGGGGCTGAGATGGAGATGCAAATGTGAGAAACTGAACATTTTTGACAATGTTTCAAATGTGATATTCTGATTTTAAACTCCAGGTTTCACAAGTGAAGCATTTTAAAGAAATGATGATGAGGAATGACTTCTGAAGAGCAGCAGCTCTGTTGGGTTACTATACCAAGTCTGCAACCTGCGCAATAAGCAGTGAGTCTTGTGTCACTGTAAAATGTCTTTACTGTCTGTATATATATCTATTTTTAGTTAAAGCAAACCTTTAATGTGTCAGATCAAGTTATCATTTTCATGTTGCAGTATGCCAGAGGATCAAGAGATGCCAATTTTGAACATTACTAACATGCACTGTTACCCATCCCATAATATTAGATAGATAGATAACTTTTAAAAACATGTTAAGTACTTTAAAGAAAGTTATGCAGCTGCTGCAACAGGCGGACAGGATGCCACCATATACAGTGGGTACGGAAAGTATTCAGACCCCTTTACATTTTTCACTTTGTTTCATTGCAGCCATTTGCTAAAATCAAAAAAGTTCATTTTATTTCTCATTAATGTACACTCAGCACCCCATCTTGACAGAAAAAAACAAATGTAGAAATTTTTGCAAATTTATTAAAAAAGAAAAACTGAAATATCACATGGTCATAAGTATTCAGACCCTTTGCTCAGTATTGAGTAGAAGCACCCTTTTGAGCTTGTACAGCCATGAGTCTTCTTGGGAATGATGCAACAAGTTTTTCACACCTGGATTTGGGGATCCTCTGCCATTATTCCTTGCAGATCCTCTCCAGTTCCGTCAGGTTGGATGGTGAACGTTGGTGGACAGCCATTTTCAGGTCTCTCCAGAGATGCTCAATTGGGTTTAGGTCAGGGCTCTGGCTGGGCCAGTCAAGAATGGTCACAGAGTTGTTCCGAAGCCACTCCTTTGTTATTTTAGCTGTGTGCTTAGGGTCGTTGTCTTGTTGGAAGGTGAACCTTCGGCCCAGTCTGAGGTCCAGAGCACTCTGGAAGAGGTTTTCTTCCAGGATATCTCTGTACTTGGCCGCATTCATCTTGCCTTCAATTGCAACCAGTCGTCCTGTCCCTGCAGCTGAAAAACACCCCCATAGCATGATGCTGCCACCACCATGTTTCACTGTTGGGATTGTATTGGGCAGGTGATGAGCAGTGCCTGGTTTTCTCCACACATACCGCTTAGAATTAACGCCAAAAAGTTCAATCTTGGTCTCATCAGACCAGAGAATCTTATTTCTCATAGTCTGGGAGTCCTTCATGTGTTTTTTTGGCAAACTCTATGCGGGCTTTCATATGTCTTGCACTGAGGAGAGGCTTCCGTCGGGCCACTCTGCCATAAAGCCCCGACTGGTGGAGGGCTGCAGTGATAGTTGACTTTGTGGAACTTTCTCCCATCTCCCTACTGCATCTCTGGAGCTCAGCCACAGTGATCTTTGGGTTCTTCTTTACCTCTCTCACCAAGGCTCTTCTTCCACAATTGCTCAGTTTGGCTGGACGGCCAGGTCTAGGAAGGGTTCTGGTCGTCCCAAACTTCTTCCATTTAAGGATTATGGAGGCCACTGTGCTCTTAGGAACCTTGAGTGTTGCAGAAATTCTTTTGCAACCGTGGCCAGATCTGTGCCTTGCCACAATTCTGTCTCTGAGCTCCTTGGGCAGTTCCTTCGACCTCATGATTCTCATTTGCTCTGACATGCACTGTGAGCTGTAAGGTCTTATATAGACAGGTGTGTGCCTTTCCTAATCAAGTCCAATCAGTTTAATTAAACACAGCTGGACTCCAATGAAGGAGTAGAACCATCTCAAGGAGGATCAGAAGAAGTGGACAGCATGTGAGTTAAATATGAGTGTCACAGCAAAGGGTCTGAATACTTATGACCATGTGATATTTCAGTTTTTCTTTTTTAATAAATTTGCAAAAATTTCTACATTTCTGTTTTTTTCTGTCAAGATGGGGTGCTGAGTGTACATTAATGAGAAATAAAATGAACTTTTTTGATTTTAGCAAATGGCTGCAATGAAACAAAGAGTGAAAAATTTAAAGGGGTCTGAATACTTTCCGTACCCACTGTATATATACTGTATATATACATATACAATACACACATACATTTGAAATGGTTTGCCTTATGCATTATATTATTATATGTTCCTGTATTAGCTATGTCTGCTCTATATTATATATTTGCTGTTACATTTATTTACCTGCATCTGTTATTAGATTAAGTTAGAATTGAATGGGGATAATTTCCAGAATCTGCTACCAAGAGACAAACGGCTTCTGACAGTTCAGTCTGTATTTTGCTTTATTGTGTAAGCCCACCACACTCATCCCACCTAATGATATTGTTTGTTTACGGGTCTTCAAACTCACAAATGTTACAGTGGATGTACTGTGCAGATGGTACAAATATTCTCCTTAAAATAATACAACAGACTAAAGAGTAGCCTACTAATACTGTTTCTTTCTACCTAAGTTTTGACATGGCACTGAGGTTGTTACTGCTGGATTGTGATTGCTCTGCTTAGTAGGTGGTTACTGTTTTAAATGTATAGAGAAGCAAAGTGAGAATTTCAAGCATCTCCAGGGTTCCAGAAGTAAAAGACCTAGTATTTATTTTCTGTATAGAAAATGTTAGTTGACTGCCAACATGCCCCCTGTTTGCACTTGGCAGTCACTCTCATGACACTCTTTGCACAAACTTCTGTTGCCAGCAACACTGATGGCAGTCTGAAGTGTTCTCCTTGTTGCACACAATTAATACATTCAGCAATTTAAGTCACTTCACTTTCAGATTTTGGATTAATTCAACAACGACACTGAAGTAGTCTTGTAGCAGTTTTGCAGTAGTTGATCTTTATTGCAACAACAAAGCATTCAGAACTTGTAACAATTGTGATTCAAGCCTCTGTGTGGATGATTTCCCCATAGCAATGGGGTGCTGAGGCTCATGGGAACTGTAGTACTTGGAACAATTATCTATACTAAACTGACAGAAAAGCAATAGTATACATTAAGTGGAAGTGTTTATAACCAATAGCGTTAACCCTTTTATATAATTAAATTCCTAGACCGCAGTGTTTCTGTGTTGAAGAACATTTAAGGTATCATCAAAATGACCTTCAAACATGATTTAAAACATGTATATAAAGGAATTTAGAAATATTTCTGGAACCTGCAGCTCTGCCCACAGGAAATGCCTCCTTTGACAGATGTTTTAAAAGGTCTTCAGTTCATGTTGTGCAAACAATATAGTCAGATCTATTTCAGTGGCATATATGCACCTTTTTTTGTTAGTCGATTCAGACTTTTGAACCCCACTGTAGCTGTCTTGTTAATGTTGTAGAGATCCATAACAGTTCATTCCTGGAAAACTGACATTGAATTTTTGCCAACGTCAAATATGTATCGACAGGAGAGTGAAGATGGTTCACAAAAGCTGTCAGGTGCCTTAATGTGGATTTTGTATAAGCAATGTAGAATATATTTTGTCAAATCATACACATGTTTTTAGAATTCAATAAATTTTATAACGTGCTAATTTTGAATTTCTTTTGCATTATTTGTATTTATATTCACATCATTTTTTATTGTGTATTATCCTGGACTGGACATTTATTTAATGAGGCACAACCAAATGTAGTTTCCTTTAAGTTCTCCTCCACTGACTACAAGAGGAACCTGAACAAGCCTGAACTGTCTTCCCAGTCTTGTTTTCCACCCCTTTTTCTAAATAGAAGATAGTTCTCTATGACAAACTGAAAGAGAATTTAAATTATAATATAATGGACAGTGGTAAAAAACTAAGCACATTTACTCAAGAAGGATTTTGAGGTACATGTATTTTACCAACGCATTTTATGTTCATGTTTTTACTTCACTGGATTTATCAAACAGCTAAAGGTGCAGCATTTGAGATTGGGCGCATTTCGATTGCCTCTCAACGTTAGCCACAGCTAACAGTGCTAACAGCGCAAAACACCTTGAAAGTGGTGACAGAGCTAACAGTGTTTACCTGAGGGGTAAACAAAGAAGTGCTCTTCCGCAGCGACGCTGTCGGTCGGGACAGTCAGCAGCGGCTGTGAGCTAACCAGTGGGGAACACTCACATGCATTAAAAGCATGCGAGGCCGGCCTGACCCAGAGCGAGAGTGACTTCTTTCTCTGCTCAGGTAACCTTAGACATTACTCCACTGTACCTTAACATAACAAATAGTTGTTTGGTGCTATATTAATGATCAGAATGTTTAATACAGCTCCTTTAACTTATTCATTTAGTGGAGTATCGGTCATTTTACTGAAGTAAATGATCTGAATACTTCTTCCACCACTGGTCTGGTCCCTTCCATGATGAGTTTGGAGTATACAGCAAGTCAAAAGGAGACATGCAATGAAAGGCTATTTGTTTATTTGGGGAAGACAATACACTTGTGATAGAGAAGTTCCTTCCAGGTAAATCTGTGAGTCGCAATGGCTGAGAAACCAATTTTATTGTGGAGCTGACCTGCGAAGCAGTTCAATTTCAATTGAATAGCTTTAAGACCACTTTTTAATAGTGGCACATTTAAACTTTCCCCAGTTTTTCCAAAAGAATTGTGATTTTCCTAAAGAACTCCTGACTCCATTCAACTCTTAACTCTTTCCAGAGTGGGCATGTCCAATGTGTCTCCTGTGCTTGATTTCGGAAAACGGATGAACTGTAAGATCACAGCTTAGTATGTATTATGGAGGACTCAAACCTTTATCAGCACTTTTGTGGCAACAGGGTGGGGTATAATCAGAACTTTGAAAAACGTCTCAGTAAAATGCCACAGTACAATGAATACATTTGAATGAATTAAACTGCTATTTGCATTTTGATGGGGACGGAAAACAGTGCTTTTCCAAAATGATATCATGTACCTATTCACACACATTGAGGTATTGTCCTACACTGGCAGAATGTTAGAGAGCCTACACGCCCCTGCTTCACTTTTATTATGGCAGATTGGACCTCTGCTCAATACTAGTTAGTTGCAAAGTGTGACTGATTCGCTGATATTGTATTTTTACATATTAGGGCTGGTAAATGGATTTGTACTTGTATAGTGCTTTTCTAGTCTTCCGACCACTCAAAGCGCTTTAACACTACATGTCATCATTCACACCCATAGGTGGAAGCTGCCTCTTTGACCTCATGTAATTCTTCGGATAGCTCCATCTGATTTAAACCAGAACAGAGTACCAATCGGCCAGAATAATGTGGGTATGCTGGACCTAACACCGTTTTTTAAAACAACTATTTTAAAATTACAGTTTTATCTATTAGATTTGTTGAGTAATTGAGGTTACTTGATCTGGAAATCACAAAGCATAACCCCGGCTACAATCTTTCTTGCCCGCCCCAGAGTCCTGGAGGCGAACAACTCATGGAGGGACGGCAGATTGCAGCCAGTCACCCTCTCTGAGGGTGATACATATATTCCTATATTAACAACTTGCGAGGGTTCATATCACTAA